TATAGGATATTTTGGCCAACTGAAACCTATACTGGCATTGACAACAATCTTACTGGACATGCTGTATCTAACTTTTCCAGACTTGGCAGTGGCTACACATAGTTGCCTCCAGTGTCCCTGATCACCAGGAATGCAGCATTTAATTTTCTTGTTCTTTAGCTGACCTTAATCATTTCTGCGTCAAGGGCAATCCGAAACTCCAGAGCCATGGGGATCAGTCAGTCTGGGTGTGGAAATAAATACCTGTGTTTGTGTGTGTGTGTTTGTATAATGTACAATACACACATGTACAGCCTGTGTAAGAGGGAGTAAGGCCTGTCTTGCTGCCTTCATGAAGAGGCCATTTAAAGCACTGATGATGAATAATAGGTTGGCTGAATGTGAGAGAGTGAGTCCCTCTGGTGTATATTTAAATTGCGGCGAGATGCTCTCTCACTCAAATCAACTCCCCGGTGGTCCGTGAGGTTAATTGCTTTCTCCGGCAGGCGCTTACAGATTAACTATCTCACTGGATGCATCCATACAAATGACTCTGCATATACCACAATAAGTTGAGCAGAGTGGTGTGTGGGTGTGTAGGTGTGTGTGTGTGTGTGCAGTGCTTTGTAACAGAACATAGTGTATGCTTAGGTAGCAGGCAGGGTGCACAGCGAGGTCAGAGAAGCTAATGAGTACGACTGACTTTGACTAACGAAGTCGGCCCAACAGACAGTCCAGCATCCATATTATTGAAGAGGATGCAACCCAGCTAGTATGGATTTGGTGATCTGCAGGTGAGAAGATCTATCTCTCTTATAGAAAGACTACATTCAGCTGAAAAGGGGACATTTTTAAGCCCATGACAATTCCAATTAATTATCCTTTTTGTAGTTTAGACCTTCATTTCTATGGTTATGATACCATCACATTCCCTAAAATAATGGCTAGGATCTGGGAACATGGGGACATTTCTGTGACTTAGTCAGATGGGGCAAAAAAGCGGCCAGGATCCCTATGAATTACGTCAATATTGAACAATTACACATCTCATGACGTCCAATGCCAGTGGTCAGTGTTAGTGCAGGAAGGACTGTGCCATTTACGTGGCGAGCTGAAATGTAAGAGTGAGGTGGATGGGCATGCAGCATGTTGGGCTTTCATGCAGGAGAAGTGCGTAAAGTTTGCTACTTGTGATAGAAATATCTTCACCATGGTTAATTTCACATAATCTTTCCCTTACCATAACCTGTAGTTGCCATGTGCAGATATTATAAAAAAAATAAAAGCAAGATTTTTAAATACTTTACATTGTCATGAGCTGTCATGACGATTAGAGAGGTTTCCACTTTAGCGTGAATGTTTTAAGTCCTTTTTTGGAGCTAAAACCAAAAGTGAGCACCCTTAAATGTTGGTCGTTATTCGCCATTAAAATGAATTGAATTGAAGCTGAAAAGGAGGCTAAAACCCACAGGTGCTAGTGCGTCTCTTAAGGTGTCAGGGAGTGACGTGTTACTCACTGCACAGCCTAGCTGGCTACTATTACATTTGCAACACATGGTTTGGGCAGAAACCCATCAACTTTATTGTCAATTTTAAATATGAGATAACATTGAAGTTTGTTTAAAACTAATCTGATTGTCTGACTGATTGCGCTTCTTGCCTTATTAGACTTGTTTTAGCAATGTTTTCACAGATGTTGATTAGAGCAGCTTTAATCTTAGACGTCTTTAGACCTCCAGAACACCAAATCCATGCTTGGTGGCAAACTCCTCCAGCTGGACGGCTGATAAATAACAGAACATGAGGGGGGCGGGGTGTCTTTGCAACTTCTTCTGCTGTCAACCAAGCATGCAGCCTCTCCTCTAAGGTGACCAGGCTTTCATGTATTAGCTGAGTAGTGTCAGAGTGAAACCCAACACTAACGGATGAGCTACCAGCTTCTGGGTTGACATCAGGGCATAGGCAGAGCTCAGGAAACCTACGGCTGTGAGGTGAACGCCACCAATTCCAACAGACACTAACATCTGGCTTGGCTTAGCCGCCCTACACACATTACACAGGGTCTGTTTTCAGGAAAGACTTCAGTCGTTTATAGAAGCATGAGAATCCTTTTAGCCTTTCTGTCAAAATGCTTTGGTAAGCCTCTCTCCAGCCAGCCTCCCTGAATATACCATCTGCTGGTTAGCTCATAAATCACTGCCAAATTTGAGAAAATAGTAACTTCTTTGACTTCACAACGTGTTTGCTACATTTCTCCTTTCTGCAACCCGTGTGTTTGGAGCAGCTCATCTACCCTTTGTGTAATCACATCTAGGATTAGTGTGTTCTGGGACTTTACAAGGCCTGTGATGTGCACCACATGGTTGGGGTTGCTGCTAACACTGAGCAGATCGTCCAGGTGACGCTGGTGATAAACTGTTCACACGGGAACGTCTCTGATCACCGAGAGGAAGGAACCCTGCAGGGTGAATTTCAGAGAAATGTCATTTAGTCATTATTCTTAATATTCTGTGATGAAAATGTTTACACTCTCTGGAAGACTGAGTTGCCTGTCAGGGAGATAACAGCAGCGGAGTCTGCAGAGGCGGCGTGTCAAGGTTGATTGAAATTAATTTGGTCTCATGACACCAGAATCCAAAATGTGATGTCAAGACCACATATAGGCAGTTGCATGATGATTATTAATGGAGGATGAGCTGACAAGTCACTCTGCAGCAAGAAGAACAAGGGCTCGTAAAACTCCCCGTGTGAGCTGTAAGAGAGCTAATAGTTAATATAATGAATTTGTGTGCGTGCATGTGGCTTTAAGATGTTTTTTTAATATTTTACCTCTGTATATTATGGTCTTGTCTGTTCCTTAACACTGAATGTTTTGTTTGTCTAAACTTGTACACACTCCACGCTCCCACGAGTTTTCAGCTTCTGTAAAAACAAAGTTGTCCTCCCAATACATTTTTTCTAAATAAATTATGTTATTGAAAATATATATTTAATAGAAGCCGACTCCACGTTTGAGATAACTCACACATAAACACTGCTCTTTTCGAAGGTTTTGTTTCTGTTTCTGAATCAGTTTTAGCTTGTGAACCTAAGATTGCCATTACATTTGCTCGACATATACATGTTTCAAAAGGGGATAAACCTTCCCTTTGGACAAATGTTTCACGCTGTGGAATCTGACAAACATTGCAGCCTCAGCAGCCCTTTAACACAGATTTAGTAGCAATCTATGGCTCATCTCACCTATTTTGCAACTAAGCAAACAAAAGAGGACTTGTGTGCGTGTAAAAACAAGTGTAAATATCCATTTAGCTGTGGCAGAAGTACACAGCAACACATTGTAACATGGTAACCACAACCTTTCAACAGTATCGCTATACAGGGAGAACATTAGAGTTAAGTCAGATTACGTGCTAAATGTCCACAGTTTCCTCAACAGTGAGACAACACTGAAGTCTAAAGCTGCAAAGCTGTAGAATAACCAATTTACCTCTTATCATACACTCTCCTATTGTGGATTGATCAGGTGTTTGAACACTGATTGGATTGAGCTGTCTTGAATCTCACCATGCAAAACCACACAAACTGCTGTGTGGAAACAGTTAACTTACTGAAAGATTACATGTCATCTATGTAATGTTAAAACCATCCATTTCCTCTGAGCGCCATCATTCAGAGCCAGCTGATAGTGTGCTCCCCAGATGTTTTGTTTAAAGCACACATATACTGTATATCTCACTTTGTTATCTGGGCTATTATGTCACTTAAATAAACAAACTTGACTCTGTGTGGTCATGGGTCGAGTCTTTGTCAGAGAGACGGCGACTATTCCCATGTGGCGCTTTCCCCTTTATCTACTGTATGTGCGTCTGTGTATGAGAGAAGATGAGGCAAGCCATCTGGGAACCTTTCACAGAGTTGAGATGTTGTTTTTTTTTTCATTGTTTCTTCTCTAGTTTGGACATAAAAGGATGTAGTAATCAGAAATGATTGAAAGGAAAAATGTAAAAACAAACAAAACAAAAAAAACAGCTCATTGAGACAATAAATACAAAATTATTTTTATTTGCCAAAAGTTCCAGCCACATTTGCAGTGCATATCTATTTTGAGGCACATTACAAAAAACATCCACTCCCGGTTGCTCTTCATGACTATATTGTGGGACAGCAGTGCCACCTAGAGGGATGTAAGTAACTCACAAAAATTACCACATTTTTCACTGTAGTGCCACCAGAAAGATGATTACTGACACCTGTGATGCTTTTATTATTATCATCATTATTTTGATATTTTGTGTGAGTGTTCAAATTTAGTTTATGGTGTTGTATTGGAATGCATATTGTTGTTTGTTTTAATATGCTTTGACTACTGACTACTAGTTAGTATCTCTGTATACCTGTACATGTAATGCTCTTTACTTGTCAGTGAAGCACATTGCCATTTTCCCTGGTATGAAATGTGCAGTGCAAATGAACTACTGCTTGCATACTATGTTTTATGCTGTACATAATCAGTAATTATGTTTAAGGTAATATTGTCTTAGTTTAATGTTATATATTTCATAAAAATACCATAAAAGTACTAGTTTTGAAAGGTTATTGTATTTGATTGCATGTAATTACACAAGTGCAGCGTTTTTTGAGTCTCACAGAATGAGACACATAATCTAGAAACCTTGCTACAGGCAGTGATTACAAACCCTCTCTCTCTATGCAAATGTGCTGCTTTGTAATTAGCATCAGTGGATAATTCGAGAGGCACTATAACAACGATCTTGGAGGTCAGAAAAAAATTACATAAACATGACTAGTGGGGAAACATCCTTACCTTGTGGTGCTGTGAAAGTGCCACTTTTCATGTCCCACTTTGCTGTTCAAGGACTTTCTCACCAGTTTATGTAACAATTTCAACTCTTCTGTTCACATAACACTGTGCTACAGTATGAAGCACAACAAACTTAGCTTTTAAAAATGTTGTATTTTAAAGGATAGAAGAAGAAATACAGAAGAATACAATAATCTTTGTTTTAACAATATTTATTTTTATTTTCCCAATGGTAACATATAGTTCAGGACAAATGAATGTTTTAGAGAAACTAGCACAGCAATTTGCAGAATATGATTCAAAATTGCACCATATTGTTAAAATAAACTGCACTCTGAGTACTAGGGATTTTAATTGTTCTCATAAACAAACATTTCCTGTAAGCAAGAAACCAGGTGATATTTTTTTTATACTTCTGTGTTAAAGGACAATTGAGTCTAAATCCTTTTAATTCTGTTTCTCGTACATCCCATGGAGTCAAGGGCCTCGGCGAAACAAAACCAGAAATGGCGACATTGTGGCACCATGACACGAGTCAACATATTGTTTCAGATACACAAACAGAACGACAGCGGGTAGCCAATAAATGTTATAGGAAAGCACAATTGTCACTGCTACCAGAGGGCAAAGCGTAAGAGAAAGAGAGAAACGGTCATACAGGTGCAGAGCAGAGAATAGCTTTCAGAGAGACATGCTGAGGGACTACACATATAGATATAATACTCTAGGTTCTGAGCTGCGACAGTCTTCAAGCAGAAGAGAAAGACAGAGGATAGAGATAGTCAGATCAAGCGCGGAGAGGATTACAATGCTAGGCGAGGTTAGCATGCTTGCAGCACGAAGAAACATTTACAGGAAGCCCAAGACACAGAGATCACATGTAAAGGCTAGAGCGACAGTGCACTAATCTACAGGTAAAGCTATACATTGGACACTAAAGCTAATTACAGGAGCTACACATACTGTATATATGTATAAATATGTATATATATAGAAATAGGTATATAGGAGACAAGCTGGATAGGCAAGGCATTGCATGCACGTGCAAAGGAAGCAAGTCTAGCAGCAGCAGCAAGAGAAACAAAGACTTTCCAAAGACTACCACAGTGAGATTCCTTTGTAATAAATCTGATGTTGTCTGTGTCACAGTGTGTTTCGCCATTTTTATCTAGGAAATGAACAGAACTGGGACAAATAAATCTAAAGAGCATTTCAAACTATTGGGTACTCTCTGTCGGGATGCAAGACAGTTAAACAAGAAGCTTTATAATATCTACAATCTGCAAAAAATTAAATGCTTTCATTTCCAACAGACCGTCGATTCTTGACACATTCAGACCAAAGAGCTTAAGTTACATTTTTGACAATTTTTTTTAAACATCAACTTATGAACAACCATTGGACATTGCACGTTATTAGGTCATGTGTATACTCTAAAGTGCACAACCTCCTCGACTGGAGGAAAACTAGACAATACTGGCAAATGTTTACTAAGGCAACACAGTTACAGACACATTAAGGTACACATCGGCACATACTGTCAAGTATCACTTGTGCACAAAAAATGCAGTGCTTCAGAGTCAAAATGGCTTTGCATTTAAAATCCAAACACCAGAGTCTCTGAGCAAGACTCAAAAGTATTCCAAGGTGAAGACTGTCCATTTCTTTAAAGCCAGTCCCTGAAACATGTTTTCTTTGAAATAGCTAGAAGAGTCAAAAACCAAGTCAGGTATCTGACACATACACACAGGAAAAAAGCCTTTTGGACAAACAGGATGAAAATACAGGTAATCTACACTGGAGATAGAGAAAATATGAATAACTTTACCTCACAAATAGTCTCTGGTTATATGTCTTATATACACCTATGTATACACAAAGATATGTACTTAGGACATCTTGAAATACTATTTACAATCTATGATCAAAGTGATTGTACACTGACCGACCATGTTGAGCAAATTGTGCTTTTCTAACTTATTCTAATGAAAATGCTACAGAACCTCTGCTTGTTAAATCAGGGTTCAACTAACCTGCTTACAGAAAGCATATTTTGAAGATGTTTTTTTGCTAACTACTGTGCGTAGTAGGAAACTTGATTATCATTAACTATTGTACACTTGAATTCACTGTTTTTTGTTGATATTTTGCAGGGTATAAGGATTGGACCCATACTTGAATATTGCTTGTGAATGAATAAAGAGGAAATCTCAGTTGCAATGCAAAGGGACACTTCTCCTCCCTCAATAATTTAAGTGCAAGTGATCTGGTGGAGTTCCTATATTCAGACAAAACACTATTATTGCCCCGTTTCCAGTTTCTTCAGATGCTCCATCCTTCATTAAGTGCTTGCTCAAATACACCACTGACATATAGGCTCTCTCATAACGGTACTGTAGATAAAAGGTTTACATCTTTAAAGTTATAATCCTTAAAATGTCAGTCGAGAGGATTTTGGAGTAGTGGCCAAAGTTGGTACTGCAGGTCATGTGATGCCAACTGGCCCAAAAAGCTCCATCATGGCTTGATTAATCAGGGCGAGAATTTGCTTTTAAACGATATTGTTCTTTAGTGTGGCAAATGTGCAATTAATCAAATTACCAATACCAGTTGACATGCAGTGACCTGGGGCTGTAGTGGCCCCTTGGCAGTTGCTCATTTTGCCTGTTGGTAATGCAGCCTTGCCTAGCATACACAATAATAACCAAAAATTGCAAGATCATTAATTAATGGTTTTGAGACATAACACTTTGTATTATTAGAATTTGATTCATTACTTAAAATAAAATTTCCAGTGAATTCCTTGTCCATGGCTGCACAATTTGAATTCAGAGTGGTTAAGGTGGACGCCTTAACTTTGAATGGCTATTGCTGAACAAATGTTGGTTATTAATTGTAGCAAAAATGGGGTTCTTAAGGATTATAACTTCATGTTACCTCTGACGTGTTGATTATTCTCATGTAAGATCATCATTATAACACATAATGCACACTCAGCACAGCTAAATATACAGCCTGGTTGGAAAATGGTACCCATTTTGATATGTGTACGTAACTGGTGACATTAAACAAATAGGTTTAACAAGCCTTTACCACTTTAAATACACCAGAAAGTATTGTGTGTAAAAAGAGTAGAAAGTGTCAGCAGGAATATGCAACAACATTAAATTAGCATCATAAGCTGCAGACCAAACTGTCAGAGGCCGAGGTAATGCATGATGGACCGACAAGCCTTCATAAATGCTTTACTGTTATGTAATTTTGATGGAAATCTTTTCCTTGCCATCTCTTGTGCACATTTCCAATTCCCTACAATGGCCTGTTCTGGTTGGGATTCGTATTTAACATGTGCTGGTACTGCTCTTCATCACCATCAAGAGAAAATATTGTTCAAAATCACTGCGCGAAGTACTATGTTCAGATGTAGAGGCAGTTGATTAAGCTGAGGTAAGGTGAAGTGCTTTTTTTTTGTTTTGAACCAGAAGTTTAAAATATAAAGTTACAATAAAACACAACCACGTTTGGCACTTAACAACATACTCGGCAACCGGAAAATGATTCAAAAATAAACTCTTCCTCATCGACTTATTGCACAAGCGTTTCATTTCACACAGTACATATAAAGTTACATCACTTACACTACTCTGGGATCTACTACACTATAGGAGAGGCAGACAGAAGCACTTTTACATAGCTTTGGACCAAGCAAGTCCACAGCAAAGCTACAATACATAATATATGGATATATTGGTGTATCTTTTTTCTCAAATATACTCTTAAATATGTGACTTTGGAGGAAAGAGAGAGAAAAGAAAAGGTTTACCAGTACATTCACGACAAACAATTCATCCGTCAAGGAGGGACAGTAAAGGAGGATTTGGTGAGATGAGTCTTATAGATCTTGGCCGAGTCGTTCAATCTCCTCAATAAGAAAGTCGATGTCCTCGAAGGTAGCAGCAGGATTTGAGATCACCATGCGGAAAAAGTTGACCTTGTCCCCTTGTGGCTGGTAGCTAACCATGGTTGTCCCGTACTCCATCATCCTGGCCTTTATTACTGGAGCCACCTGAAAGATATAATAAGTACAGCATGAATTAAGAAGAAAATCAGATACTGTAAAACTCGCTGATGAAATAAGCTCGTACGGTCAAGTTTTGAATGCATTCACAGTCAGACTTATGATCATAATAGATGTTAAAGCTACAGTTTTGGTTTTGAGAACTGATCCCAGAATCAGGCAATAAAAACCTATTCTAAGTAACCTCGACATTTCATATTTAGAGGTGCTGATAGGGGAAATTTGTTCACTTTGGACAGAGTTTTCAGTAAGCTAAGCTATGTAAGCTATATAATATTTAACTGACAATCATTGGTATTGATCTTCTCATCGATCTCTCTGCAAGAAAGCAAATAAAGGCATTTCTCAAAATGTCAAACTGTTCCTGGCACAGGGAGAACAATGCAGTTTGAACTCTGTTGGCACGTAAAAAGTATGAAAATGTTGAAAGTCAGTCAGTCCTCATTCAAACAATCTGCAATAAAAATACATTTCAAACAGTACACACAAAGGAAGGTATGGTGGAGGGTAAAAATGAAGTTTAAATAGAAAGCTAGCAGGTTATAAACACTACATTACCTGGAAATGAGCAGAGTGAATCTAAATGAACCAAATTTAAAAAGGCAATAAACCAAAGATTGAGTGAGTAGTGATTGTGTGGTAAATGACCAATTGTATGCCTTCATCATGTCCTCTCTTGACTCTTTAAATGCCATTTTAATGTCTTATTTTCTCCTCAGACTACTTTGATCCTGGTCCATGTAGTCAATTATCTCCCACCAGTCTGACAGCTAAATCTGACACCAGACCAGCACACACAGGACTCTGACTGCTTGCCGTCAAGTTGAGAGGTTATCTCAGAGAGTAAACTGCGACAGTCTTGATGGCGGTGTGGATTCTGTGCTGTGATGAGCTGTGGCAGATTCAATTACAAGTTTGAAACTCACACTCCTTGTTTTGGACCATCGTTTTAGGGCTTGTCGTTTTTGTGAATGCTATGGGAGAGCTATTAAAACTGCCACATTTGGTGCAGTAAAGGTCACAGTATTGTGAACTATAATCAACTTAAGTGTATGCACATGAGATTCAAAACTTGAGGCGACAGTTTGTTGCAGCGACAGATTATGGGCTTAAGTTAACTGTGACTCACTCTAGGTTCAGCAAGGTTCAAGCAACCATATTTGTATGATTTTAGCCTGCTGGAGTAGTTAGTTGTGTATAGAAAATTACACAGTGGTGGAAAGTCAGCACATCTGCTCAAGTACCATTTAAAGGCACTTGTGTTTTACTTAAGTATATCTAATATATATGCTGCTTTATACTTTTACTTCACTACATTTTAGAGGAAAATATTGTAGTTTTTACTTTACTACATTTATTAACTTCTGTCCTTACTAGTTGTACTTTTTTTAGCATTAACAAGTGTTTCCACCTAAAGTATGCTGGGATTTATGTGTCTTCATGTACTAAGAATGATGAATTTGTAAATTGCATCGGGACAAAAGTAACAGTAGTTTCTTTTTTTCTAATCGTGTTGCAATAATAACTCAAATACAATTATTATCTTGCATATTTTTTATCTTGTACAGGATTTCTACACCGTGGTATAGCTACTTTTACTGAAATAAAGTAAAGTAAAGTTCTTCTAACTCTGGGCTGCAGTGCTGTAGATCTCATCGCATAGTCATTCCTTCTAAATCTCTTGCAGGTGTCCCGCTGCAGTTGGCAGGCCTGTAAAATAATCAATCAGCAGCTGCAGATTTCTGTCAAATCAGTCGTTTGACAATTTTCCAGTTATCCTTGTCCTTTAGGAGTAGTCATTACAGCAAGTGGAAAACGAGGAAAGCCCCTTTGTCCTTAACGAGCTAATCGGCAACATTACATCATCCCTCGATCTTAGTGTCAGAGTCTGTGGAAAAGAGTGAGCTGGCCAAACACTCTTTACCTTCACTGAGGCATATCCACTGTGTTTTTCCAATTAAAACGTTGGAAAACAAAAGGAAATCTAAATCTAATGTCCTATGATTTATGGTGGGTGGTTGTATGGCGAAAGAGAGAGGAGAGAGCTCTTGGTATGGTGGGCACGTACAACCTTGGTTTGTGCTAATTGTCAATTATTAGGCCCCTGCTGCTATGGGATCCTCTGACTGGCCGCCGCTAACTGAGTAGCCTCAATCCCTCCAAGCCTGGCCTGTGATACGCTTCCTCTGTGACAGCGTTTTAAGATCACAATTTAAGTACAGCTCGTGCACGGCGATGTTTTTAAATTGTTTTTATCCTTAGTGGACGTTCAGGTTGTCCCTAATGAGGAGGACATGCGATGGTCAAGCAGGATAGGAATGACAGGCTCTTGGGTAAAAGAAAGGTGCAGTGGAAGTTGTTTTTTGTAGACGCTAATGTCAGGCTTCTTATCGGCGCTCGCCCACCTTGTGCAAGTGTTTCTTTCTCTCCTCTTTGTCCTCCATGTAGCGGATCCCAGGAGGGAGGTACCAGAAGCAGACGTTGGTGTGCTGAGGCTGTGGGAACAACAGACAAGAGGAATGAAAGTGCGATAGTTGTGCATAAACAAAAACATGCACAGTCTGGGCTGGGAAATAATTAAATATTACTGACTTTTAGTGGAAATTGTTTTACGATGATATGATGTGTTAAAAAATAAAAAATTCAGTAATTAAAATTAAAGCCACTAGGCCTATGTGTAGAACTTAAATATTTCTTGTCGTTGATGCGATAAGATATAGAACAATTTCAAAGGTGCTATAAAAACAAATGTTGAGAAAACTTGAATGATCAATTGGCACATTGTAATTAAACACAACAAAGCTGCACTTATCTTTTTTTTTTTTTATTAACAATGGATCAAATGTCTATGTGTAATGCGAAAGGAACTGTTCATCCTGATGAACCCACACAGAATTGTAACCTCCTCAGTTTTATGGAGCGTTTTGGAGTCTTTCAGCTCATTATTTTGGTCATATGGCAACATCACTGTTTAGATTCAATTTCTCATTGGGGTATTTATTTTAGCAAGCAGCTGTTTGTCATTAAAAACTTGTGATGAATTGTACACTACATACAGTATCTACAGCTGCTGTCGACAGACTGACGGGTAGACAAAGTTAGCAACTAGCAATTAAACACAGTGTAGCTAAAAGTCGGTAAACTCCAAAACAAAACTAAAAGAAGAGTAAATATTTGACTTACATTTGTCATGTGGCCAGAGACACAGACACACACAACTGAATGCTAATATTACTCCATGTCTGCCGAATGTGTAAATAAATAATTGTCTGCTAACATGCTAGCCAACTTTATAAGGCGATAATGTAATATTTTAATGCTGTCTAAAAAAACGTTTTTAAGCACATTGTAATAAAAAACAAACACTGTAAGTTGAGAATAAAAGTTCAGTGGATGAAAATGAATAAATCCATTTGATTAACTGACATCACTTTGTGTACATTTACTATATTGTGATATATACCAATATTGGATAAAACATGAATGTCATATATAATATATTATTCATTTAAAAAAAAAAACATCCAGCCCGATGCACAAGTAGACATACTTGACAAACATGCAAACATATACCAACAAATACATATGCATTATACATTAATATATACGTATTTACCAATCATCCTTTCCTGCAATCCTACTGATACCTCAAATTAAAAATCCTACAGAGACCTCAAAATAAAAATATCTGAAAATAACCGTAGTCCATCCATTTCTCCAAGCCAGAGCAGATTCTGTTTGAAACCGGCTTTTTACAGCTCAAAAAGGAAATCCATTAGGTGTTCCCAGCATCAGACAGGTATCCTGCCTCCTTCTCAGATACTCCCTATCTGTCTAAAAGCCCCACACAGCTCTATTTTTTGGCATCTGAAGCCCTGCTGGAGCAGCCTGACCGCCTGCCTGCGAGTGGAAAAGCATTCATTACCAACAGCTGACTAGCCATGCACACCAGCCTCATTTATACAGCCGGGCTGGTCCGGCGGTAGTATATTCAACATCAGATTGATGTAATGGCTCAGTGGGAGGCACAGACAAGTGAACACCTGGGCCCAGAGGACTTGGCTTTTCCCCATCACCCTCTGGGTTATGATGCTCTTAGCCTTTTGTGGCTCAGCAGGAAAACAACAGGCCTTGAAACATTAAAGAGCTCTCACTATAAATGACTCGGGGTGTCCAAGCACTCCCTTTATAAAAGGGTTTTTAGCTTAATAACTCCGTCATCCCCCCATATGTTTGTGTTGCTGTAGTTTTGTTCGGTAGAGGATATTTCAGACGACATGCTATTCATATGCATATGAGCAATTATAGGCCGTTATGCTATTCATTAAACATAATAGCAGCACATTATACTGGCAGCGAGAGGTAAAAATGGCATTAATCCAACACAAAGCAAGAGCACACTACGTGCCAATCAAGTCCCCCATAATGACACTGACTACACTGAGGAAAAAGAAGCAACACAGACTAATTTTAGCTACTTTTCTCTGATTATGTGGCTACGGATGAATAATCTTTGTGGAGAGTGAAAGTTAAATGTGGACATACTTTCCCGTCAAAGACCATCTCGTATCCTTCTCTGTCTTTGATCTTGTTGTAGAGGTACTCAGACAGCTCCAAGCACTTGTCAATCTGAGCTTCAAACCCAATAGTGCCCTGTCAAAGAAAAGATCGGTAGTTGTGAAACATTTATTGAGACTAATGAAACTGAAGACATTTGGGCAGCCATGTAAATGAGAAGAGACAGGTGTACATCGTGTTTTTCTGCTAAAATATTGGATAAGAATGTCTGTAATTTGCATTTAAATCACTCTCTTGACACTTAAACACCTGTCACGCACAAATAATTAGTCAAAAAGCAACATTTTCAGGAAACAATAGTGCTAAAACAAAATGAAAGGAAGTATAAAAACATCTGTTGGAGCTTAAATATCAAAGACTTGAATATAAGGATTTGGTCCAGGGTAGTTTAACTCCAGTGAAATTAGGTAAATCTTATAAGTAGCATGTTTAACTTTTACACTAAAATATTTTCTGTGAATTGCTTTGGATAAAAGGTGAAATATGAGCAAGAGAGCTCGTTTCCATGTTTTTTCTTACCTTAGCTCTCCACATGAGCCACAGCTTGAAGATGTCCACGTGGCGTCCACACTGCAGCGCCTTGTCTCCGGTGTCGTAGGAAAGGTCGTAGTGTTTGTCCTGCTGGAACAGGTAGCAGGCGTGCATCTGGTTGCAGTTCTGCATCAGACCCTGTGAAGTCAGATCCAGAAAATATACAATTACCACTATAAAACAAAAAACAAACATCCACAGTGTGTCACAATGAGATTTTGTTAACTGAGTCGAGGCCTACCTCCTCTCTGACTAGCAGGGCCGAACACTGCAGAGGGACGGACATCATCTTGTGTGGGTTCCATGTTACCGAATTGGCCCTGCAGTCAACAAAAACAACCACTATGCATCATTACTATAAATGCTTGTTAGCGCCTCAGTTTATGTTCACTGCCCCCACTGCCCCAAAATATGTCACTTGCCTCTCAACTCCGTCCAGCTTCCACCTGTGTCTCCTGGACATGAGGAGACTTCCTCCCCACGCACCCTGACAGGACAGACAGATGATAATGTCACACTTATTAGTTATGTAGCACACAAGCTGTGAGTTGCTCCTTTGATTTAACAAGCAGACAGTATCAAGGCTTCTGTATCTCTGGAGGAGCTTTGTCATGTGGAGGGTCTTACAATTGGTAATATCAAGTTGCATTATGGGAAATGTAGGATCCAGGGTTCTCGGCCTCTGCTATGTTGATTGTGATATTATTTTAAAAATCTGTCTCTTGCAAGTTCCGCCGACCTTTACAGAAGCGCTATGCAAAATCCCCCTCTTTAGTGGACAAACGCAATCGGTTTCTACATGACCTTTTGCTGAGCTACTGTATACTGGCTGTTGTCCACCTCAAATGTGGTCACAGCTCTTCTCCATAAAACATGTTCTAGTCATTTTAAAGGTCCAAAGGTTCCTCCTCCAGCTAAATAGCTACAGAGGGTCACTCTGAGATCTGCAAAGCCAAATGTATTTTAATCTGGGGTTTTTTGAGGACTAGATATGAACTACTAGTTGATTAACCGATTAGTCAGTTGACAGAGGAATAATTGGCTTCTATTTTGATGTACGATAAATTGCTAAAATCATTTCAAGCAAAAATCCAGCTTCTAAACTGTGAGGATTTGCAGCTCCTCTTTGTCTTACAGGAGCATAAACAACATCTTTAGGGGCATTAATTAATCGATGTTTAAGATAATTGTTAGCTGCTGCCCAGTTGAAGAATTTCAGTTTTGAATGATGGACTAATTCGTCCATTTGTCAGAAGCTTTTTACCCTCAGAGGAATGAATTTAGGAGAAAGGCTAAATTCTTGATGATGGCCATCAGCGTGTTCACTCTAAACACTGGTACCAGCTTTGAAAAAGGTCTACATGTACTGTAGGTCTACATGTCAGACGCTTGTGTGGATGTTTTTGCAAGCATTTCTGGATTCCCCAGCCTCATAATGTTCACTACTGAGAGTTATTAAGGCCACCAAACACACTTATTTCACGGGTAGCTGCCTCCACAAAAGCACATATTCCGAGAAAAGCAGCAGCTGCCAAAACACTCCGAAGGACGATGTTGTTATTCCCATCTCAGCCAGTTGACGAATGATAGATAAGGCCATTTGTGCCTCTTAATAGAGGTGTCCCCCTGTCAGGACTAAATCACCTTCATTAATAGATAGAGTTCCTTCAGTGAGAGGGCCCATGATGGCAAAGTCAGAGGAGAAGATGATTTACAGCCTCTGTTCCAGTTTTTCTAATCCCCAGTGTTAGATAGGAAATGGCTGGCTCCTATCTGGGTCAACCGCAAGCAGTTAGAGGCGAGGCAGACATAATAGATTTGTCAAACTCACTGGTGAGCTCTGTTTCTATGCATTCCTTCACTAAAATCCCTACTGTGGATAAATATTGACGTTAAAGGCAATGACAGTGTTTTAAATGAGGACATGTTTATGCAGATTTGTGTCTGCAGCCTTTAGATTGCACACAAAGGTCAATTTATTTGTTTTACTCACATCCACGTGCATCCAGATGTTGTACTTTTTGCAGATGTCAGAAATGGCGATGAGAGGGTCAAATGCTCCGTACACAGTTGTTCCAGCAGTAGCGCTCACAAAGAAAGGTACAAAACCCTGCAAAAGCACAAACGCAAAATCTTGTACACAAAGCAACTACTGATGCAACAATGCCAATATGTTTTGGTATGTTTTCAATCGACTAAACAGCATAAAATCAGTCTACTACAGTATTTCTAGTCATAAGTATGTATTACATTACCTTCTGCTTCGCCTCCAGTATTCTCCTCTCAAGGTCAGCTGGGATAAGTTTACCACTGCAAAGCAAGAGCAAGCTTTAGTTTCTGTTTGTGAATTCCTCAGGGGTGGATTATTCAGTATTCAGATAAAAGTACCAACACAACAATGTGAACATACTCCGTTACATGTAGAAGTCCTACATTCAAAATCCTACTTGTAAGTATTATCAGGAAAATCTACATGTGTCAAAGTTAAAGTACTCGTTCTGAAAGTAATGGCCCCTTCATTTGATATATTATTACATATGATAGCATAAGAATGTTCATACTAAAGCATCAATGTGTAAGCAGCATCTTACTGTTGTGGCTGGTGGAGGTGGAGCTAGTTTTAACTACTATATATACATTATGGGTAGTTTTATCCAGTGGTTCTCAGACGAGGGGTCGGGCCCCTCCAAAGGGTGAAAAGATAAATCTGAGGGGTCATGAGATGATTAATGGGAGAGGAAAAAAGAAAACACCAAGTTCTGATACACAAATCTGTTTTCAGCTTTTGGACTTTTCTCAAAAGTTTGCTGTTATTTATGAAATATTGAATAATTGTACCTGTTTGGGGCTCAAACAGTGATTTTAAATTAGACCATCTGCGAAGTTCACAAAGTGCCCAACCTATACAGCACTTTTTTTGTAAGGAGTCACAGGCCAAAAAGGTTGGAAACCAATAGTTTATTTGACAGGGTTATGCCATGTGGTCTTAGGTAAAAGACGTAAAATGCAGATGTTATATAAATGTAGTGGAGTAAAAGAACAATATTTCCCTCTGAATTGTAGTTGAGTAGAAATCTAAAATAGCAGAAAAGGGAGCAAAGTACAAGTACCTGATAACTGTAAATACACTTTTGTACTGTTTTTGGTATATTAACCTTTACCTTTCATCTGCTTTGATGCAGATCACACTTTCTGTCCCAATGCCAAGAGCTGCTGCACCTTTTTTGATTGAAAAATGGCTCTGAAAGATGAGACAACACAATGAGAGAGAAACTCTGTAGATAATACACCTATATATGTATATATATATATCAAACAGCTTTGATGCTGAAAGGTTTGTGTGTTACTGAACGGCTTTTTGCTCATAACATCTTTCAAATGTCCTTTAAAGGGCGAAGCCAGTGACATGTAATGTGACAGACACACCAGTCACCTTTTGCCCTTCTGTGTCTGACACACATAATGTGAGCGTTATCTCAGCAATGGTGGTGTGAAAGTCACTTTCAAAAAACACATCAAGCGCAGCTACTGTGCAAAACAAGTTCAAGCTATTCCTGCACTGGAGAGGACAATCTTTGACATTTGATTTAAGAAAATCTTGCTCATAAGAAACATATTGACAATGCAGCTGAAGGGAGACATATATGCCTACATGTTCGGACGTGAAGGCCACCAGTCTGGGAACAGATGACATTCCTTTCTCCTTCACTTCAGGGAACATCTTGAAGCGGGCCAGCAGCATGGCATACATATTTGAAATAGCACCACCTAGAGGACAGACAGGGCTCAGTGATTTACAGCCAGTGGGCGTCAGTCCACATCACAGCTGTGACTAGCAGGTGTCACGGGGAAGATGCTGGGCTTCTTACTGACACAAAGCGTAACACAATATAAAAATGTCTTTGCATGTTTTAAATAATGAAGCAACAACAATCACAAAAAATGTTTACAGCGTATCAAGAGCGTATCGAGAGAGGACACAGCATCCAAAATCACTGTCCACAATGTCAGAGCCAATCATTAAATTCTCCAATGAGTGCTCCTCGTCATGTGTCAAACAGAAAATGTGTGGCAGAAATTAAAGACAGGAGGGTGACGGGGGTGGGGGCTTAAGGTGGAAAAAGGAAATTATTTTATGTTAATTGGCTTTGAAACGAGCTCCATTTATATCATCAAAATGCAAATTGACACATTACAGCTCGCACACACACACAGGCAGTTCTATTTTTAGTGAAACAGAGGGGTGGTGGGGTTGACATCGCCTCACATACATACCAGGAGAGAAAATGCCATCTCCTCGCCCGTCCGGCCAGCCAATGATCTCCCTCATCTTCTTCAGACTGACGTATTCCAGCAGCACAAAGACAGGAGCCACCTCATAGGTGAACCTGCGTTACACAAGGGACATCACATGGTGCTGGTTACACAAAATGTGACTCATCACAGCAAGTCAGCCAGTAAACATACATTTTTCCCCTCTGCAGTTTGTCTGTTTCAGGACATATTCAGAGTTTAAATGGATGGCTCTCGCAGAAGTAGATAAAACACAAAATAAATCAAATAAATGAAGAACAATATTTAGTGTGCTAAAGATGTCCTTTATTTCTGAAGAGGCAACTGATGCCTTTGAACAAAATGTACCAGCATGTATTTTGAACAGTTCATTCTCCACATCGTGGAGATTTTCAAAGTCCCAAACATGCTCTCTGCTGTCACATTTTCATCATCGTCGCTGCCCTAAAAACTAATTGTTTAGGCTACCCCACTGTAAAGAGAAGGCTCAGTTTGCGGTGTCTCACAGTCGCCAAGGCTGACTCTTGCAGAGTTTATCACCCCAAAAGCACACACACCAAAATTAGCTTCAGATTAGTCTGAATTTAATTTCAGAGCTAATTTTCTCCCCTTGAATCCCCATGGGGATCAGAGGTGAGGGGAGGAGGGATAAAAGGCAGAGGTGGGAGGGGTGCAGAGGGGGTCTGCGTTTCATTTCACCCTTTTCATTTGCCATGATTGAGTGAAAAGAAAAAAAGAAAAGCTGCTATCAGCCCATGCAGACGCACAGCAGAGTGCATACGGATGGACCGGAAATGGAACTCATTGTCATTAACACATTATCACCCTTTAAAATCATGATGAAGCACCGGCCACATACTTACATATTGGTGTTGGCAGTGGATGTTAGCCAATCGGCTGCCAGTCCAACCATGTCTAATCCTGTAGAGAGCTGATTGAAGTACCTGGGGTGGGCTGAATAAAAAGGAGCAAAGGGAAAACGGGAGGGGAAGGGTGTAAGATGGCTGCAATTTCAACATTTTTCTATCTGGTGTTAGGAAAATTGAAATATGCTTTTTTGTGTGTGTTTATACTGGATTTGTGCAAAAGGCACAGAAACTGTCATCTTCTGAACACTTTAATTGCAGGTTAGATATGCAGCTGCAGTGACATTTTAAATCATCTTGCCAAATAATGAAGACATGTGGTGTTGTATGGATCATGTAGGAGTTTAGTAGAGGAAATTGAGCTTTTCCACTTTTGTTTAATAAAACAGGCTGCGTCTTACACCAAAGAGCAAAGAGAAAATGAGTCAGTTATATTTGGAAGTTTTAAAAAACAAAACAAGAAAGACTTCATTCATTTGTAAAAGTCAGGTTCATGATGAATGCCTACATTAGACACACTTTTTCTTTATTCCATATTATAAAAATGAAATGTAACACTTTAAATCCCCCAGTGCATCACCTATAAGCAGAATATAAACTACTATAATCTACTGCAATTAATGGTTTATAACACACTATGATGAAGCCTAGTTTTAAGCAGATAAGTGTTAATGTTGATACATTTGTCTACAGCTACTGTATAACTCACCCATAGGTGGATGTTATAGACAGATGACAACATAGTAAAATATAAAAATGTCTTCATAATCTTTGACAAATACTGCACATTAATAAACACCTTTTAAAAATATAAATGTTAAAAAGACTATAAAATATATATTTAAATGTGTTTTTTGTTGCTGTGTGTCAGTCAGGAAAGAATAATGGAGCTGGCCTGTGAAGCCTGGTTATTAGCCTATTATCTACTTGGCGAACCAGATTTACTGCGTCACTGCATTTATCGGTCTGGTGGCCATGAGGAGCAAAATGAGGACAACTTCTAGGTTGATTTTTTTGTTTTTTTATAGACATCATTTATTTATTTATTAAACACAGACAGATTCCTGTAATTTTTTTCATTCTGTTTTGTCACTATACATGTTTAGAGGATATCCTTAAAGTGAGTATAATTAAAATAGAAAGATTTTTTTATTGATTTTCTAGTAGACTGTATCTGTTACCGATTTTCTGTGACATAGTGAGGAATTGCACTGACATTGCGCTATTTAGGTTATAGTAATTTTCCCTTTATAGTGTTCATTTTAGTGCGCTATTAAATGTTTACTTTAATTTAAACATTTTTTATTTCTATTTAGGCCTTTTAGGAATTTAAAAGGTGCAATATCAAAGCGGGGAATATTACCTATCGTGCCAAACCGATGGCCTAATATTTTTACCATAGGTAGGCTATTTATTCAGCATGTGTCTCAGCATTCAACCTGGCCTACCTGTTTTGATGGCGTATTTCAGAGTAGCGCGACAGCTGATCAAGATATCATCCAGAGTCGCCGGCTCCTCCTGCAGCTCCCAGTTGTTCATCTGCAGCAGCTCGTTTGGATAATGAAAATCAATAACTTTCGTTTCCCGGTCGAAAGACTCCACGATGTAGGCCAGTAAAATATCCACAACTTCCTGCAGGAAGGTCATTGTTTTGGTGTCCCCGTCCATGGCAGGTAACAGGTCTGTAAAAAAAAAAAAAAATAAGAAGACATTTTGTGATTTTTTGGGGGGAGGACTTGGAAAGGTGAATGTGGTTAGAGGAGTCTCGTACATCTTCATGCAACATTAAGATGTATATGTGTAGGCCTTTAAAAGGGAGATTTTGCTGTGAAATCCTTTTTGGCCTACAAACAGAAAAAGACGGGGAATTTGGTAAGATTTGTAGCTGTAAAAACGGAAGGAAGTTTTTGATTTCTGCGACGCTCAACACCTCAAAACAAGAGATTTTGCTGAAGGTGACCTTTCCAGAAATAGTCCACCACCTCAAATACAATGTCAAGCGTGACTCACTGAATATTGCAGATATTAAGTGTAGATATGCAGATACAGATAATAATGAATTTCATCCAAACATGCGTGGATTCTGTCGTTTGTTTCCATTTTATTTGTTATGTTTATTATGTTTTTTTCACGGTAGGGACAAAGAATAACGCAGATCAATAAAAATGATTAGCCTATTGAAAAAAAAGCCAGTTTGCAAAATGTCAAATGCTATGAATTCATAGGTTTCGTTGGCAGTTTTCCATTTATTAAAAAAAAAAAACCCGACTACATTCGCTGTAAAAAATAAAAAAAACCCAACAACAACAACAACAACAAAACAAACCACAAACCACAAACTCTTTGTGGCATTTTAACACTGATTAATTCACGACAATCCACGGCAAGGCCAAGCTCTGACCCAGTGAGACAGATCAGGAGTCCGGCAGGGTTAAAGGTCCAGGTTTACAGCCTGCTTTTGTACCTGTTGAATAGAGGTCGGAGAAGCCCACGGAAGCCTTGGTGCAGTTGCATGGTTTGTTGCAGCCGCAGGAGCCTGCAGCCTGCGGCTGCGGCGGCTGCTTGGTGGCCGGCTCGGCGGGTTTCTCCACTTCCCCGACATTGAGCAGCGCTTTGGAAATCACAAAACAGCAGTGAGATATTTTATTACCCTGTCGACACGGCCTGGACGTAAATATAATGATGGGAATAACGGGCACGTAGCCCAAATAGCGACCCCCACCCACTCCCACCCCTCCAGATTTCCCTGCGCCGTGAAATAACGAAACAACATACCACATAATTTCGATCCGATTCCTCCGGGAAATTTCTGGGCCGCCGCTTGGCACCAAGCCCTGGCTGGAAGAGAGAAGATAAATCAAATAAAGATGAACATGATTCGGGTTCAGAGCCCAACTTTACATAGCAGCCGAAAAACAAAAAAGCGCCATGCAAGTTGTAGTAAAACCCTTTAGACTCAATTCTTGTGTCTTGCGGGGTAAAACAATAAGAGGAAAAGGTGTCAAAGCAGACGTGTCGACTACAGCAGGCCTGATTGGGTTTTCATCTGGCGGCAGCAGCACCAAATGCAGCGCCCCGCAAGAGACAATGCACAAGAATTAGTGCTGCGCCCGGTCCACCAGAGGTGGTTTGAAGACAAAAAGCCACTCACTCGTACTGGGGCTCTGGCTCCCGGTATTGGCCCCCGCATTATCTCCGCCGAGAGACCAGAAACCGTGTGATGCCATTGTTGCCGGTAGTTAGGAGCTGCAGGAGACACGGAGACCGACAGAGCCCATCCACACGCGCCGACCTGGAGCTGTTCAAAGCTGATGTGGTGCTGAATCTGGCCAGACCTCTCCCACTGCTGACAATCCAGCCGTGCATCCGACAGACACTTTATGCTGCAGGAAAGCCTCCCCCAAAATAAAACGTTTGGAGTGGAAAAGAAGCACCTAATGTGTCCACAGGTGCACGAAGCGCAGGGCAGCGTCCTTCCAGAGAAATCCGCAAACACTTGACTTCACCGGCGCACTCAGTCTGCGCCTCCACGCAAAGCGCAGCCACTCTTCCTCACTTCATAGCAAATACAGCGCAAGAGTAAGTTGAGGCGCAGTGAAATGTCTGCTTTGCCCCAAAAATAAAACAAGCAAAATGAACTGCAGCCAAAAGGTGATGGGAAGTGCTTTCAATAAGCAGCTATATGCTACAGCTGCGGGTGAACACGCGACACGTAAGCCATGTCTAATTGCATCTAACCTAAATTTCACGTCACAACAGATATCCCATCGTGATTCACTTTAGGACATGACGAACTGCGTTGCGTCGTGCGTCGTGACTCCATACATCCCCTGCATCTTGTCCCCTGCGTGCTGAACTCTCCCTCCATACAGACTGTGAATGCCAACTAATTCATCTGGCCAACATTTGCAGATCCAGCCTATTTCTTGAAGACCGGCGGCTCTAACCGCCCACCCCCGTTGGAGGAAGCAGCGGGGCGAGGAGACTTGGTTCAAGTACACAAAGTGCGCATGGGTTCCTCCTCTATCCTCGCAGTGCTGGAGCTCGTTACTCCATAAGTATTTATTCCTCGTTACTTGTTTCTCCACTTAGCTCTTTTTTTCCCAGTCTTTTTGTGGAATACAATTGTTATCCAGGACTTTCTTTATCCAATATGTTTCCCCCTCTAAAATTAAATGAAACGCTTCTGTACTCTTTACTAGTATGAATATGGACGGGCGCTGGTTTGTAGATTGTGGATAAGCTCAGTTAAATAAAAATAAAAATAATTCCACACACTTACAGCTAGAAATCAGGCCTACAATCCAACACTGTCATGTTTCCTTATCATTTATCCATGAATGAGAGCAAACGGCGCCTGCAGGCATCAAAACCAGCCTGAGCCACATCAGTTATTTGATTTATGAAGGCAATCGCCAACAACCATTTAATGCTGAAAAAAAAAGACTGATTCAGATAAACTGAACACCACTGTAATATTTATGCATGGTTCCAATAAGTATGTGGTTCTAGAGACCTTACAATGATGGTGTTAGTTATTTTAGCTTTCTCTATAATATTACAAAGTTCTAGTTATTTTAATCATAGCTCTTTAATTTGTAAAAACAACAATAGTGTTTCTTCTCTATACTCGCCCATCCCTTGCAGGTCCTGGGGAGCTGGACTCCCAGTTGTTCCTTTGCTGTCTATGTTTTTTATTTCTTATTTGCCTGTATGTAGTTTTCTGTGCCAGTGTGTGCAGTCAGCATGTTGTTGGTGATTCACTAACACTCCCTGTGGGGCTTTTCTCCTTTAAAATGTCACACAAAAGGTCAGAGGTTGAATCTCAAGAAATGCTCAAAGTCAACATGGAAAAGGCTACATGAAGAGCTGGTTTGATATCAACATGACACAGCTGCTTCTGCTTACTCCCTCTGATACACTGGACCCTTTTTACCACCAAAAACCTGCAGGAATTCAGTGTTTTCATATGAATTGTATAACTGAATATACATGCTGAATAACTGCAGATTACCATGTCCAAATGAACTCCTGTCACATGGGCGCAGCTATGCTAAATGAACGCACAACAAATTAAAACATCACAAGGAATTTGATATATTTTATGTTTAAATGAACAAAACAGAGATTATAGCAGACAGGAGAATGTACATTTCATACAACATGACAACACTGAAGCTGATTTTCCAGAGATATGTTCTTCAAAACTGGATCGAAATGCCAAGTGTTCAAGTGTGAGAGCATGGCTTTTGTATTTACACGATCTAAAGATATTTTACACAATTCTAGTTGCTTTTTAAATGGATAAGGACAACCTCAAACACAAACTAAAAAACAGGAAATTGATGAGCAAAAGTAGCTGCGTCTAGTTTACAAATTGCATAAATAAAACCTTCATTTACAGCAAGTTAAAAGGGAGTAGTATTTTATTATTTACATTTACCTTCATCCTGTCTTTGCTGCATTTAGATTAATTACACTGGTGGTGACTTACAATCAAAGCATTCATTTCTGTAACTATAAAGTTTCAACGGTTTTTAAAGAAGCTGTGATGAATCAAATACACGTACATCATATGGCATGATATATGTTAGGTTGCCACATCATGTGTAACCTGCTTTGACAGATTATGTGCCAAATGGCTTTAAAAAAGTTCAGTTATGCGTTCAGTACTGTTTGATGAGCTTTCGTCTCTGGGAGGTCTTCCTCAGTAGATGTCTGAAGTCATATGGATTCTCGTCAGCCCGACTCTCTGTGGAGGGCATTCTGGGAACAGAGTGCCTGTCAACAAATTCAACACAAAGATAAAGCGCAAAGACCACCACCAACAACAACAAATAAAAAAGAGAGAGAGATGAAAAGATTCATGTCCAGGAGGAAGATTTCATATTGTTTATCATTTTGAACAATGATTTATCAAGTGCATGGGCTGTCTGAAGCAATGGCCAGGCAGGACTGGAAAACAGATGAAATGTGAACATGGATTTGTCACTATGTGTCCAACTGGAATGTGAAATGCATGTGTGGTATAACAGCAACGTTCAAATACCTCACATTTTCCATTCTCACATATAATAGATCAGTGTAGGATCTTTCCCTCTCAGATAACTAAAACCCTGTATCCTTTAATTAGCAGCAGGGCTGTGTAATCCACCTTCAGTCTTTAATTTGAGGCATCGTCAATTAAAATTTTGAAATTAAATCTTCAAACACAATTTTTTCTTAAAAGGCAGGTTATTTTTAATAACAATAACTGGATTATTATGGGGATATCTCAGTTCATGCTTTCATCAAGATGCATTAAAACAGTATTTGCAATTATGGAATTAGCGTGTGCATGTAAACAGGATTGAATGAGTGCAACCTTTTTAATCTATTTTGTGACAAAAATGTATTTTACTGCAGGGGTGAATCAGCAGCCCTGTTTCCCTGCAGATTACATTATATATTATAGTATACTGTAGTCAGTCAGTATATGCAGGCACTAAAATCAGACAGCTGGAGAAAGATCAAGGAGACCATTCACAACCTTGTCACATGGTAACACAACTGAGCCAACTCCAGGTACTGATGAAAATGCGTGGTTGAAAAAAAAAGCAAGTAAAGAGGATCGCTGAGTCGAGATAATTTTGTCACAAATTAAAATAACAAAATGTGCGTCATTAAAAATAGAAACCATGATAATGGTCTGCTCATATATGCATACTCATGCTGAACAGTGTTTTGGGACGCTGAGCCTCCAAAACAGGAAGTAAATGCTCTGCTGCTTTTTAAAAAGATGAAACTACTCGGAAAGTCAGATTAAAATGTGGTGCATGAGTTGACGAGTTGTTGACGTCACACGTAGAAACATGGCGGACAACATGGTTGATGGTTAGAAACGTTTGATCAATGGTGCATTTTTGCTAACATGGTTATAACGGTTAGTTAGCTGTCCACGTAGAGTGACCTAGATAAATTAGGAAAGTTATTTATTAGCAGTATTTGCAGTACAAGCAATATTTTAGTGGTTTCAGGTAATGTACTGGTACAATAACACCAGTTGGACAAAAATCACTTAATAAATAGCTGAAAACTGTTTCGTTCACGATCAGCTTTACAAAAATAGAGCTCTGAACTAACTTGCCATTACAGATTCATCAGTTAGATAACTGATTATCTGACTGGACCATCTTCTGTATCGGCCTTTACAGAAATCAATGCTTTATTCAAATCAAAGATCACAGGTAACAAGGACATTACCTGTTGTCAGTGGCAGGTTTGGGAGGCTCGGGTTCAGTGACGGCCCTCTCTCTGGTCGGTCTACTGGCAGCAGCTGGTCTCTGCTCTGAAGCCGGCTCCCTCTCTGTGGACTGCCTCCTCTCTACAGAGTGCCTTCTCTCAGGCGTGCTGCTGTGCGACGTGTCCTCTGTGGAGATGGAGGGTTCAGACCTGCTGGTGGGCAGTTCCCGGTAGTAGTGGTCATCTACATCCAGCAGCTTTCCTGGACTGGAGCACAAACAGAAGTGACATAATGAAGTTAGGAGGGCAGACTTTGGTGTCAGTGAGACATTCATGTCTTGGTGACTGTTTATGTATAGCCTAATAACCCATACCAAATACCAATCTGAACTCACAGTGGTCATAATAACAAAAGAAATCTGGTTCTATGTCCCTTTAGATGCAAATACAGTATCTCACAAAAGTGAGTACGCCCCTCAGATTTTTATAAATATCTGATTATATCTTTTCATGTGACAACAATGAAGAAAGGACACTTTGATACAATGTAAAGTAGTAAGTGTACTGCTTGTGTAACAGTGTAAATTGGCCGTCCCCTCAAAATAACACATCACACAGCCATTAATGTCTAAACCGCTGGAAACAAAAGTGAGTACACGCCTAAGTGAAAATGTCCAAATTGGGCCCAATAAGCCATTTTCCCTCCCCGGTGTCATGTGACTCGTTAGTGTTACAAGGGTTCAGTTGTGAATGGGAAGCAGGTGTGTTAAATTTGGTGTTATCACTTTCACACTCCCTCATACTGGTAACTGGAAGTTCAACATGGCCAGTACTTGAAGTGGGGCGGTACGCACCGGTACGCAGTACCGGCACCTCGACATTTTACTCTTTGTTGTACCGGGACATTTTCTTGCGTACCGGGACTTCTCCCAAGCTGCCGGTACTCTCCTCTGCCCTCTCCATATCAGGTTCTCTGGGCGCTACGTGACTCTCACCTGTTCCCGTTCTTGCCTACCTGCTAAACTCTGTTGGCGCAGAGAGACGAGGGAGAAGAGACTTTCAAGCAGCTGTGTGCTGAATGTAGCTCGTCAATGTCACTTGTCGTGAACCGACCAATCACAGCCTGGATGGGGCGGGACATTTAAAAGTATTGACAGAGAGGTGACATTTTCACTGGGGACGCTGGAGACAGGTCAGAATCAGAATGACTACTTTGAAAGCTTTTGCTCAAAATGTTCTTAACAACAGCAACAATAAATGTTAAATAACAAATGAAACAATGGACAATGAGAAAACATGCAATGCAATTGAAATATAGAATAAACAAATGTGCATAGGGGATGGGAGCACCTATTTTTGTCCGCTTCAAGCACTGAACATGGCATCTGATGGCAACCAAAGTGTGTCTTGCCTATAGTCAAGCATGGTGGTGGGAGTGTCCTGGTCTGGGGCTGCATGAGTGCTGCCAGCATTGGAGAGCTACAGTTCACTGAGGGAACCATGAATGCCAACATGTATTGTGACATACTGAAGCAGAGCAAGATCTCCTCCCTTCGGAGACTGGACCCACAGGGCAGTATTCCAACATGATAACGACCCCAAACACACATCCAAGAGACCGCTGCCTTCCTAAAGAAGCTTAGGGTAAAGATCATGGACTGGCCAAGCGTGCCTCCAGACCTAAACCCTCTTGAGCATCTGTGGGGAAACGGAAGGTGGAGGAGCGCAAGGTCTCTAACATCCAGCAGCTCCATGATGTCTTCATGGAGGAGTGGAAGAGGACTCCAGTGGCAACCTGTGAAGCTCTGGTGACCTCCATTCCCCAGAGGGTTAAGGCAGTTGTGGAAAATAATGGTGGCCACACAAGATATTTACACTTTGGACCCAATTTGGACATTTTCACTAAGTGTGCTCACTTTTGTTGCCAGCGGTTTAGACGTTAATGGCTGTGTGATTTTTTGAGGGGACAGCAAATTTACACTGTTATACAAGCTATACTACTTTACATTGTATCAAAGTGTCATTTCTTCAGTGTTGTCACATGAAAAGATATAATCAAATATTTACAAATATGTGAGGGGTGTACTGACTCATGCGAGATACTGTATCTCCCTGAAGCTACGCTCTGGACTGCCACATGAACAGAAGTGAGAAAAAGAGAGTTTCCAAGTGGAGATCAATAAGTCTCACACATAAACATCCGGCTGCAATTGAAAATCAGTGTCTTTGTGACTACATGGCTCCAAAATCAGAACTGTCAACACTGTCCAGTGAACTGTGATGAGTCTGAGGCCCGACCTGACCTTATAACTGCAGACACACAATCATCCCGCTGATGAATCATGATGAATGTGCTGCTCTGTAGCTGAAATGAAAATGTCCCCTTGATTGTAATTATCTCCCTGTTCTCTGGAACATTGGCTGAATGAAGTGATTGACACAGCGGTGTGAGAGGAAAAACCTTGAGGACGTTGACTCCCTCAGAAGAAATTTGTAGCTTCTTACACCCAGATCTGGATCAATACTAAAAACAATCTACTAAGTAATATTTAAGTTAGGTAAAGCTTTTAGACTAAAGTGGGTCAACATCGGGATTGTGGTGAACAAAAGCTGATCTTTTTATAGTTGTGCTATATGTTTCTGACAATAACAAGGTAAAGTTAAAGTTTTCACTTATCCAGCGAACTATCTTAACATCTATGGGATGAACTGGCATCACATTTGCACATTCGGGATTATTAGAGAATGCATTTTAATGACTTTACGGTTTTCCTCCAATGTCACCATGAGGTTGGCATTTGTGGTTTTGACTGAAACAACTGTAATGGACTTTGTAATAAGTTTTAAACTAATGACATTCACATCAGCTGTGCTTGTATTTAATGCTAGTTAGCATGCTGAGGTTAGCATTTAGCTCAAAGCAATGTTGTGCCTGAAAACAGCCTCACAGAGCTGCTAGCATGGCTGTAGACTCTGAAATTTGTAGTTTTGTAGTCTGGAGTTGCTCTTTTTCTGGTTCAGCCAAAAGGGAATCAGTTCAGCCCTGGCTGCTGAACCAGGGTTGGTTCAAGGGCTAGATCATCCCCGGTTCACTGCTCATGCTAACTACCTCATCTTTCCTCTGTTTATCTTCAACAAACTGCTGTTGTTGGAAACAAGAAATTGCTTCCCCCTGGTACAGAGGAATTTTATGAGCTGGTAATAGGTTGAATCACTATTATTATGTCACATTTCTAGACAGAGGGTACAAAACAGACATGTAATAGATCATTGCTCTAATAGATCATAGCTCTAATATCGGCAATAATATATAGATATTAGTAGTTCACTTTCTGATTAACTCTGCCTCCTCATTTCTCCCTTTGTATGTCTTTACTCCCATTTCTTATCATCACCTTTGTCTACTCTTCAGTTTTCACTCCTCTTACCACCCATGCTCTCCCATCTCCCATCCTCCTCTGCTGTCAGCTTTAGCCAGAGATGCTATCTTTCCTGCTGACCTTCTCATCCTTAATGATGCATGTAAACTGCTCCTGTCCATCGCTGGCTTTATTTATCTGCTAACAAATTATTACCCTTGATGTTTAGCGCTGTGTATGTGTGTGTGTGTCTTCAGACTGCTGTGATAAAGTACCCTGGCCCCTTCTCGTTCAGCCAGCCCTATCGGCCTATCTTCACTCCCTCAATCTGGGCGGTACGCTCACCTTGCGGCCTATACCACACATACATATGCATGAGGGCACACATCCAGTCACTTTTTATTTTAATTTAAAGAAATATCTGATCTGCAGGTACATTCAACAATTGTTACGAAACATCTTCCATACCACCATACAAAATATTTCTAATGCGTAACATTAATTTCCACAGAGTATATTTACAGTACATATACAGTATAAAGGCTAATTAATTTCACTGAGGATGTGTGAAATTTGGCAGATCGTTAAATTTGGACCCAGACACAGTGCTTATGTTGGCGCTGGGGTAGAGTCATTACTCTGGACTCTGTCTCCCAAGCAAGCCTGCAGCAGGCCAACCTCTTAAAATAGTAGTGATAGGTTGTTAAAATCATGTTGAAATAAGAACCGGACACTTACTCCTCTTTCCTGGGCTTGCGTTTATCATCCTGGACAGACCTCTGAGTGGAGAGAGACAGAGACAGATTACTACAAGTCAATCAAACACTCCTAATCTCTGTGTTTGGGTAAAGCAAAATAAATTGATTTTAGAACAGTGGTTTCCAACCTTTTGGCGTGTAACCCCTGAATACAAAGCAAAAGGTTATTTGGCCCATTACAGGCTGCATATGTTTACAAGTTGTGACCAGTTAGCCAAAGAGTAATTTTAGCCATGCTAGACGATGAAGCCTAATTATTTTGGTGATCCCCTGACTTGTCTTCTAGCGCCAACATGAGATTGATATCTCATTGATTCCCACAGGATTTTGTGAGACTATGGTGGGTGGACATCGACCCTCTAGGGGGGTCCGGGAGAACGTAACAAAAATTTGTAACTTCCCTAACATTTTATTTTATTTTTAATGGACACATGTAACAAGTTTTATACTTCCTGTAAATACAATCCAATAAATCTTATTTCTATACTGTAGACATTGTGTTAACACCTTATTTTGAAAACTGGACTTTGTCACATGTGTATCATCCATCCTCGCATGTGTATCATCCAAGTCCGACGGAATTTGATAAATTATATTGTATGTTGTGCCCATATTGCGTAAGATTTAATGGCCTCTCTTCAGGTAAGACTCTCATACCGTATCACTTTGTACAGTGAGAAAATGCCTGCCTGTCAGCTCACTCTGCTCCTTTTAACTGCATTTACCATAAAGGCTCTAATGCGTGTGCACTCCAAATTTAGCTGCTAGCTTGATCGCATTCTCACAATGCTGTATAAACCCTTAACATTACCGTAATTACCTCAAAAGAGAAGTGGTTGTCTCGAGTCGGATTCCAAAGTGTGTGAACGCGCAAGTTTACAGCAGCGGCGCAAAACACAATGTTAGACGTCTTGAATGTTAATATATTTTCGGTTCATTTTGAAACACTGTGGCCCCTTACAAAAATTTCCTATGCTATAATACCATACAATTTCTGCAGTATTTGTACCTTATGTTCCTGTGGTACTGTACCACACGGGACATGTACTGTGTGGTAAATGTATGGTATAGTACAACAGGTTCTGTGATACATTACCGCAGAATTTGTGGTACTGTAAGGTCGTACCACACGAATACCATAGGAACATTTTCTAATACCACAGGAATTTTTTGTAAGGGGCGGGCCACCATAATTTCGGTAATTAATGGGAAATACTGTGGTATCGGGACTTTTTTTTTATTTGTCCGACACTTTGGTTTATGACGAAATACCTGTAAAACTAATGAAATTCCCATCAGCTCCAGCTGTACTTAGTTTACTGCTTATGTGAGGTGGTCAACATGGTACTCGTACATACATACATATGTATGTGCATACTCGCTAAGCATCAGATTATTAGCAATATCAGCGTGAGCATGTTAGCAGGGTAGTGTTAGCATTTAGCTCAAAGCACTGCTGTGCCTCAGTAAAACCTCACAGAGCCACTAGAGGGGCTGTAGAGTCTTACTCTGTTTATGGATTTTCTGTTGATCAAATCTGAACTTTTTTACAACTAAAACAACTAAAACAACTAATTTTTTATTTTATTTATTTTTTTACATGTCATCAGATTTGTATGGGAGTAAGTTATTATTTTGTGTGCTTAAACAATTTTAAAGTAATAAAAAGCACAATTATTGCTACAGTTTTGTACTCTATCAAATTTTTGGTCATTATTAATTGATTGAAATATTGATTAAATGCATTACACTCTATCTACTGTATAGAACTAGGTCAACTAAACAAAAGTGACGGCATTGTAAACAAACCTTAAGTGCTGCAAAAAGAGCAACTTTGCGCTGAGCTATTGTTCGCTGAAATTATGACACATTACATTAACAGTTACATAATAAGAACACTGAATAAAAGAGAATTGCCTTTAATACAAAAAATGCTCAAGAAACTGTTGTACAAAGAAACTCTACAACATACTTTTCCAGACAACTCTTGAATTGGGAGCATATGCACTTAAGAGTACTACAGAAAGAGAAAAATTGCCAATCAATAGTGCATTGTGAAAGCCAATAGCTGGGGAAGTACACATGGCAGCAGAAATCAATCTCCATCTTTTTCTGTGACTCACATGAATCAAGGTGTAATAGGTGGAGTCCTCTGGTGTGTTGAGGGTCTTCGGCTGCTGGGTCCTGCGGGGAGTCCTCGACAATCTCTTGTCAGCTGAGAAGCAACAAAGATGGTTAAAAACATCAGACAGCGGGTTTAACTGTAAAAACTACTCTTTTTGTTGCACATGAATGGACACTTGAAGGGAAAACGGAACCTCACATTCATTTAACTTATTTCTTGTAGAGCAATTTTCTAAGTTTTTTATGTTTACATTTTTCCACAGGTCGCTGGGATTTTGTGTTTTGACTTTTTAGTAGTGTTGTAGTACTCGAGACCGGTCTTTGTCTTGACCACTTTTTGATGGTCTTTGTTTTGTCTCGGACTCGACCGCATTTGTACTTGGTCTTGTCTCAGTCTCGGACGTTGAGCACTCATATTTTTTATTTCAAGACCATAATTTTGGGAATATCAATAAAATTGCTTTTGCATTCAGCAACTGATTTATTTGTTGATATCCTAACTTTGATTGGATGTAAAACTTATTACTTCATATGCAACCACTAACGCTAACTAAAAATGTGTTGTTACTGTTAACGACTGCCACCCCTCCCCGCAATGGTAAACATGGAAAAAGAGTGTTGAATAAAAGATGCTTACGTTGATTTCAGCTCTTAGTGTTTGTAGTGGGTGTTTTAATGGGAAGGTGGATCTTTCAGATCAATTTGAGACGTACCTATGATCTCGTTCCACATTTTATTGTGTCGTGTAATGTGGGGAACTGGTCTTGGTCTTGACTCGGTCTCGCTCGGTCTTGGTCTCGACTTGGTCTCAGCCCCTAAAAGTCTTGGTGTTTTCTCGGTCTCGATAAACTCTGGTCTTGGTCTTGACTTGGTCTCGGTTTGGGCGGTCTTGACTACAACACTATTTTTTGGTACTCTTGATTTATTCTCTTGGTCTTTTTGTGAATAAATTCCATGGATGTGGTTGTTTAAAATGTGTTTTTCTGTTGTTGGTTTAGGTCAGTTTTAGTGTTGTTCACCCCATAGGACCGCCTCCATAGAGTGGAGCGTAACAACAGGTATAAGAAAAATACAGTAACATAATAAAATAAAATTGTTTTTTAAAGGTCCAGTGTGTAGTATTAGGAGGATCTTTAGAGAGGAAATGCAATATAATATAGATAAACAACGTTTTCAGTGGTGTATAAACCCTACATAACCATTCTGTTACCTCAAAATGAGGGTCCCCTTAACGTACCCGTCGCCAGGTTGCGCCGCCATGTTTCTACAGTAGCCTAAACGGACAAACCACTCTATAGAGAGTGTTTCATCACTACGTTGAATATGTAAAAAGGAGGGGGAGGAGAAGGAGAAGAAGCTGGAGATGACAACGTAGAAGAAGAAGAAGACCGGTTTATTAGAAATAAGGAAAAAGTGAAATTTGGATAAATGGAGGACATCGACGGCCCTTAAACCCCTAGGCCACCAGAGCACCACAAGGACTTTGTCTTAAAATATGTAATCCTAAATAAAAGCAGCACAACATCAAACAAAAGTGTCTTTCTTGGTTTTCTCCCACAACTCTGTGCTAAATTATTTGTGGTGCTTTGTCAGCCCAACCTCCTGCATGTCCAACATAAATTGGAGTGAAGGTGGTGATAATGTTTTGACTTGATGTGAAGTGATCTGGTGTTATTTTTTACCCACTGCGATGGGATTCAGAGGAAGTTGGCTTTGGCTCATTTAAAAGGACGTCAACATCAAGGTCGACAAGTTCGAGAGCCGGTGGGCTCATTACACATGGTTGGTTTGATTACTGGAGACACTATTGAGTGTGATCTGACGCCATGCTGACCCCCTTATACACACTACAGTTTAATGCTCAGGCCTTTTGCCAGTTTTTAAATAAGAGATTATGTGAAACAACCTTTGACACAAACCCTATAACTTTGTGACGATGTTTGATTCCCAGCAGTGTATTGAACACAAAGACTGACGTGTGTTTGTGACCAGCTGAAGCAGCTTTTCATGCATAACAGCTGTAGTAGTGGCTAGTTAGCAATCTATCATATTTGTGGCATGTGATATTGCAATTATTATCATATCACAATGACCTTTGCTCGTTGCTGATTATTAATCACTGTTCATACAAGAGGAAAACACATGGCAAAAACAATCCATCATGTGCAGGACCTCTCAGGTGAAGGAGATGAAAAGTTTGTAATATTATTAAACAAGTCCATTTAAAGGTCATTCTGTTTTGCTCAAACAAGAAAAGCCAATTTCACACACTCTTATTAATTCCTGCCATAATTGTTGGAAACGCTTGCTCACAAAACGGGATTAACATTTGATGACCTTTTCCCATGAAGAACAGTGTGACTGACATTCCTCTACTTTCACTGTGTGAGTCACAAATTATTCTGATTAAGTTTATTATGTCAATGAAATGTATGAGGACAGCTTAGGACTGTCGATGGAGAAATGACCTAGTGGGGCTGAAAAGGATCATTTTGTAGGGAGCTGCGGTGGCCCTTTGGAAATAACACAGATAATTCATTGTGCTTTTACCTGAGGCAATGTGCTGTGCTAAAGAAAAACCTGTAAAGGGCAAACATGCCCAGATTAAAGGAACTCTGCTCAACTGGAAACTCTATGTGGAGTAATGTGTGTTTAACATATAGGGATAAACAATATGCAAAAAACAAAACAAAAAAACATCATATTGTGATTATTTTGGTAGATATTGCAATAGTGATATGAGTCGCAATTTTAGTGGGCAGGGCGTCTCTGTAGCACCACAATGCTTCATTTTAAAGGTCCAGTGTGTAAGTTTAGTGGCATCTAGTGGTGAGGGTTGCGAATTGCAACCAACAGCAAATTCACCACTCATCCCTCCCTTTCCAAGCACGTAGGAGAAACTACGGTGGCCGACATGCTCTGTCATTCTAAGGTAATAAAAACATAATGGTTCATTATATAAGGTCTTTTATACAACCCTGAAAACATAGTTATGTATTATCTTGCATTTCTGTCAATAGATCCTACAAAATATTATACACTGAGCCTTTAAATGGTATGTTGTGACACTTTTTACCTTTTTCAAAAAATTGTGAGATTTAGATATTGCACTTTGCCATTTTGCAATTTTGATAATATTTTGATAAATTGTTCAGCCCTAGTAAAGTAGGTGTAAAAATTTTATTAAAATAGATTCCGATAGAAGCAGATCCAAAAGCGCACCTGCAACTGCACGTAAATTAATTTCACTTTAAGAATTTGTTGGGACATTTTAGGAAACGTGCTTATTCACTTTCTTGCTGAAAGTTTGATGTGAAAGCGCAAAACAGTTCTCATGTTTGCACACTAAAGGTTAAAGCTAGAGCCAGGAGACGGTTAGCTTACCTTAGCTTAACATAAAGAGTGGAAATGGGGGAAACAGGTAGCTGGAGTCCGTTTAAAGTTAACAATCAGCCTACCAGTGCCTCTAAAACTCCATAATTTACATGTTATGTACTCCTTACAGAACACTGATTTCTTTCATTAACACATTATTTTCTACCATATCTGTGCATAGCAACTACACAGTGTTTAAATGCTGATCAGACAGATACCATTTCAAAAAATTAAAAAAAGGATAGTGTAAGCCTACACACTATTTACTGTCATAAAACCAAAAATCAAATGAATGTAAGAATAATCATGATGCCAGTCAAGGTAAGGCAATAGTTGATATCATTGCATAATTATTACATTATTTTGCCAAGACACCAGAACCGGCTGTGACATTTTAGCTGCGAAGACGGTGAACATTCAATTTGCTGTTTCCTCCCCCGCTGCTCACCACTCTGAAAGCAATTACACCTATCACCTGTGCAAATCAGATTTTATTTTTGATGACACATTGGGTAGGGAAGAACTTCCTGTTCTGGCACTTGACTTTCCCAGGTTTCCTGATCTAACTGAGCCTCACTAGAGAGAAAAGAGAACGGCGTTCGGCGATAACATCTGTGAGAAGACGGTAATGAAAATCTTTTTCTTTTTTTACATAAAGAAAATAAATGGAAATAGCTGGCACACCACCTTTAACTCTGAAATAATAAATACTGGATAAATCCTGTGTGTTTACAATCAAGGCTTGAACATAAGGCTTTCTTTTTATTTTTAGAGTGGCAGGAAATTTCACAGGCGCACTCTGACGTTAGTTGTGTGTCTGTGATGGATAACCTCAGTGCAGCAAAATCAAAAAAGACTCTGCTGAAGGATGGATACACCAAATGAATAGATACATTGCCTCCTTAGACAGGCAGCCTATCTTAACTATCTGATGATTCCAGGCTTCAGAAAGAGAACCGAAAATGCATTAACCTCGGGTCAATCTAACATGCATTATATTTATTGCTTTATAGTCTGTTTTTCACAGAGACAATCTCAATTATCTTACTTGATTGGTGATTCTGGGGAGCATAGCCATTGATTGCTTTTCCTCTTACAAACATGCCATTGTTCTCTGGGTTTGATTGATGGGCCTGGATGATCTCATTCAACTTCTGCTGCAGGGCCAGAAAGTCCTGAGAAGTTTTTGTGATCTGTTGAAGACGTTTGACAAATACTTGAGTTGAGTTGGAAAGGTGATTTGGGCACAAAATAAAACGTGTTTAATGATATTACCTGTTTGGAGAAGTTCTCTAGCTGTGCCGTTTGCGTCTGTGTTGTTTGCTTGTTGGCCTTCAGGTTCTTCCTGTCCTTGTACCCTCTGAAGTTACTCTGGATCTTCACTGCAGCTTGCTCTTCCTCCTGTCTTTCTTTTTCAGCATCTGCCTCCTCTTTACGTTCTATCACAACATCGGTGACATCCAGGGCCTCCTCTTTACGTTCTATCACAACATCGGTGACATCCAGGGCCTCCTCGTCTGCCTCCTCTTTTGTTTCCTCTTCTGCATCAACCTTTGCTTTGTTTCGAGTTTCTCTCTCTTCTTTCAGTTTCTTCCGGTCGCGATGGCCTCTGAAGTTACTCTGAATGACAGTGGCAGCTTTTTCCTCGTCCAGTCCCTCCGGGTTCTTGGCAGAATCACCCGGCTGGGATTCTGGCACTGATTCTTCTGTCTGCATTACCTGGTGTTCCTCTTTTGGAGGTTCCGGTGTAACTTTGTTGTCCTTCTTCACCTTCTTAGGGATCTTTCCTTCCTCCTCGAGTCGTTTGCGCTCCTTGTGGCCACGGAAGTTGCTCTGAATCACCACAGCTGCTTTGGTCTCGTCTTGGTCGTCTGACATGACATCTGCTCCAGCTTGAGCCTCCATCGGTTCTTCTCTTTCTGTCTCCTGGCTACTGATTTCTTCTGCTGGCGTTTGAACTTCATCACCCGTAGGACTTTTTGCTTTCTGTTTCTTAGCTGGGATCTTGCCTTCCTCCTGTAACCTCTTCCTCTCTTTGTGGCCTCTGAAATTGCTCTGGATAACAGTGGCAGCCTTGGTTTCTTCTTCTGTGTTGACCGCCTCTTCCCCGGCAGCCTTTTCTTCTTTTGCAGCATCTGCCGCTGGTGCCTCCTCAATCACTGCTTCATCTGCCACTTCTGTATGTTCGTCATCTTCTGGCACCTGTGTGTGATCACTGTCATCATTCTCCTCTGCTTCAAACGTACTTTCTTCATCTTCGTCATTCTCCTCTTGAGCTGTCTTTCCCCCTTCCCCTTTGTTGCTGCCAGGCTCTTTACCACCTTCTTGTTCCAACGATGGTAACTCTAATTCAGCCCCAGCCATCGTCTTTTTTCTCTCTTTAAACTTTTTTCTCTCTTTGTATCCCCTGAAGTTGCTCTGGAGAACCACGGCAGCCTTGGCTTCGTCGTCCTCGTTATTCACTTCGTTGTTGGTGGCAGGTGAGTTTTCTTCATTGGTGACCGTCTCTGGTTCAGGAGTCTCTTCTTTTTCTTTAAGGGCCTTCTCTGCTTTCTCTTTCTCTTTGGCTTCCCTACAAACAAAATGGGTACATCTGTCAAAAAAAACAACCTACCATCTTTTTTTTCAGCGGTTAATGTGTAAATCTCCTGTTTCTCATACTGTTTTCTTTTGAAGCTTTTCCTTTCCTTGTGCCCTCTGTAGCGGGCCTGAATCTTGGTCGCAGCTTTGTTCTTCTCATCTACCAACTCCTTGTATTTCTTTTTTGCAAGATAACCCCTGCAAACTGAAGAAGACGGCAAGAAAAACGTAAACCAATGTAATACACTCCAAGCTTAGCTTGTGTTGGATAACTGAGCCTGTCTCAGATTGTTCTTACCAGCCTGAAAGTGGACGATGAAGGCCTCAAACTTTGCTTTGCTTTTGTCATCAGCCACCCTCTTCCGAACTTTATGCCCCCTGTAAGCTGTGAATCAAAAACCAAAGCAGGCATGGGAAACATCAGAAGAACTGTTTAATGACTTGTTCCCGTTCCAGCAGACAACAGAGTGTACAGTTTACAAACCTGACTGCAACACCAGAGCACTCTGTTCTCGCTCCTTTAATATCCGCCGGTACCGCTTGGCTCCCAGCCAGCCTCGGACATAAGCCTGCAGCAGAATGATCCGTTTTGTGCCCTGCTGCACCATCAGGTTCAGATGTTCAACGTGGTAGTACTTGAGAAACACCTGGAACACATAAAACACTTTAATGATCACCATATCAAATCTATTTGACTTACCACAATCTGACTTGCAAATAATGTTACTGCTTCTATGTTTGTACAACTTTCCAAGCTGTCTTACATGTTCTACAAGAAATTTGTAGAGTTATAGAGTGTTAATGAATTAATTGCATGGTCTTGATTCTGAAACCATTGCACACAATAAGTGAATGGCATGTTCTGGCTTTTTTAGCGAAACACTTTCCTGCACTAACTGTAGGTAAATCTTGGCCTCAATGCCTTTCTTGGTGACACTAAAAAGTAAGAGTTTAGGGGCTTGAACTCAGCTCTTGTGGTTCAATGCTCCAAATCACTATTGCCACACTGCTACATAATATACAATATCACAGGTTGAAAAGGGGATTTGCTACTTTTAATAGACCCTGTTACTCCTTCATAGACCATGCTACAGAGTATGTGAATGTGAAAATGATTTAGGTGCATCGGTATGAATATCAGCGTTTTGTTCATGACTAACTTGATGACTGTCTGGATCTGTAGGCTACTGTTATTTTAATATGTGAGAATACATTTATTTAGCATTTTATATCTTCTGCTGCCATCTGTATATTCATTTTTACTACGTTTACTGTGTGTCTTTGACATAAATATTTCTTTCAGGATGAATTCATTCAAGGCAACAATACAACCTTTATTTCAGATAAAAGACAGAATATTACATAAAATAACTTAAATAACAAAAGCACTATAAAAGATCATGGATTAAGTTCTATCTAATCTCATTGTCAGGTTGTAGCTACAGGTTTTAAACATTACGCAGCCTTATGTTTAAAAGTTCTTCAGTATAGTCCCAGTAAAGTCAGCTTGCCCCACGTCTTATACATAATGTATGCTTAATGTTAAATGTTAAAAGAAGAGATGCATTCATATTATTTCTAATACATATACTCCTGCTGCTTCAAACTGAATTAGCAAAAGTAGAACCGAATAACAATACGTTCAGTTAAAAAAAAATCTCTAATTACCTTAGTCTTCCCCATTGCCCAGTTCTCCAGCTTGGCCTTCTCCAGTATTGCAGCACATGTTTCTGGAGTCGCAGCTGGCTCTTCATGAGCATGGAAAGCCAAAATATAATACCTGTAACAGTCAGTGTAATCAGCCGGACGCTAATACAACATACACTTCTTTCTGAATTATCCCAGGTGTGAAGTGAGAGCTTGTTGACCTCTTTATGAAGTTAGCAAACAGGATCCGGTGCGAGTAGCCCTGCCGCCTGATCTTGGCCGTCTCCAGAACTCCAGTGTAACGGAGCTGAACCAGGACCTTTTCCCGGTCAAACTTGTTGGCATGCCGATCGTTGTTTGGTTTGATACAGCGAACAAAGTGAGGCTGCCCTGCCACCATCTTGGACAGCAGGTCCATCAGAGAGTACTAGAAACCACATTAGGCAGCTTGATTAAACCTTACGCTGCAATGTTGGTAAGAAAACTAGTACAATGCGAGCTTTTGAAACAAAATTTGAACGATATCAGCAACTAAGAGAGGAAATGATCTTACTCTGAAGTAGGAGGCCACTGTCTGTGTTCTCATATTGGTGGTTTCTCTGGGGTGGTAAGGAGTGTCTCCACGTTCACCTGGCTGAACAATCAAACAAAATCCTAATAATTCAAGGCATAGTTTGTCTCCTCAAACATTTTAGTACAAAACACATTAGGCCAACTGGGTAATTGAGCAAGACGAAATGAGGACAGTGACCTACAGTTTAATCTAAAACTCTACAAAACTGTAACATATTCACATTACAATTTTTCTGTACACTACGTTTTTATCAAAGCTTTTAATCTTCCTTTGAGAGATCACCAATCACCGTTTGCATTTGCACTGTGTCATCAAGAGGCACAGGAAGCAAGCACTCTTTCTCGGGAGCGAGCTTTAATTCCAGAGAAGGCTGCAGAAGAGACGCATAAAATGGATAAACAAAGAAACAAGTGCCAAATCAAGAGTATGGTCTGCATAAATACAACTTGTCTGAAACTATTACTTCAAAAAATGTCAAATCAGACAAATTCAAAATCAAACAAAGCCTATATGCTTTAAAAACTGCTCAAATTAACTATGTGGTTACAAATAAAGTACACTATTTGCTCTCATAAACACAACTCAGAATTCTACATCAATATAAATACAAAAAAATGACACATCTTATATATAAATCTGCATCCAGCACATATTTGGTAACATTTTAACAAGCTCTATATCTAATTCTAAGCACTATTACACTGGGGGAAACCAGTTTACAGCAAGCCAACAGCCTAATACTGTTTATGGCACTCTGAATACTCATTGTGCCTCTTAAGAGCGAAGCCTTTGATGAGCTTTTTGTCTAACACAGGCAGATGAATGCAAATAGATTCAAGAACTCATCAAACAGTTAATTTAAATGTAGCTACTGTCAATTGCTTTTAGGTGAGCAAACTGCCTCAAGCCTTACATTTAGCAGGCACTGCAATCGTGTGCTGCCACAATTTAAACAAATTCACCAAAGTAAGTCACTTTGTTTGTTTTAAATTAAGTTTTTATTTGGCCAGGTGGCTACTGACAAAGACTCTGACTGATTACTGAATGCTTTGAATACAAAATTTAAAGTTTTAATACTTTCCTAAGTTTTTTTTCTCCAAGTTTATTAGCATGAGGCATGCCGCTATAAACAGACAGCAGTGGATATGAAAGAAGGCCGAAAGGTTTTAACACAGAGTACACATATACACTCAGGGTACTTAATGACGAGGGGGAAGTGTTTATGCCGGTGACAGACAATAATCGGTCGGCCGATTGATTGGGCTGATATCTGGCATTTTAAGATAATGGTATCGGCCGATGCCTTCGCTCACGAGGCCGATAAACAAAAAATGCCTGGGGACACATCTGCACGCAGCCTCGCCACTGTGGCTACTGTGGAACGATGTTAGCGCTCCCCCTTGTGGAATGGTGATGAAAAAGTTATTTTTGACTCCTAAATGTCCTCGATCACCATTATCTTTTCTAAATATTAACATGTTTCTCCTAAATGACAGCAAACCTAACCTTAAACCATGCCGGCAGCGTTAAATTTATATTGTTACACTGTAGAGAATAATGCAGTTGAATGACATCACTTGAAGAACTGTACCTCACTCTCTGTTAAACACCATCCATGTTCTAAAAACTACAGCACAACCAAATGTATTTTTCTAGCTCATAAATAAATAAAAAATCCATCGGCTGGCCTGCTCTCTAAATATTGGCAAATGAAAAACCCATATTGGTCGACAACTAGTGTATGCATTCAGCATTATTCAAAGAGAGGCTGCATACAAGCACCATGGCATGCATCCATACTGAATGCATATAGTGAAAATCGCTTGCTTTGAAAAAACTATGTAACATTTACACAAAATTTAGCTATCACTGCCTCTTATAAATATACGAACCAATAAACTTAGATTTTAGGATTTCTAGAGTGGGTAAGGGTTTCTGCATTGGGAAAACGATACATACACTCACAAAAACTATATGGAAATGCGTTGATTACCTCACTGAAAGAAAAAGAACTGTACAAGGTTAGCACTCCCATCTTTTCCAATAGAAAAGCAAAGACAAAGAGAGAAAGGAGGAAAAAAGGAGACATAAGGCATAAGAATAGAAGAAGTTATAATTACAGTTGAGTAAAAATGAAATAAAATCACACAGAGAGGCTGAATTGTAATTCAAGAGCGTTTTTTAGCTCCTTTAGAGAGAGTGAGAAGAGAAAAAAAAAACGTTTGAACAACTTTTTAGGGGAAGTTCTTGATGGAGAAGACAATACAGTGATAATGCAGACAGTGCTGTAAGTACCTTGGCTAAGGTGATGGTGCGTGTCGGGGTCCGCGAGCTGCGCATTGTGTTTATGCCTTTACCCTTGGTGTGGGCAAGGTTGCCTGTGAAATAAACAAAGTCAGGATGAGAGTCGGTTAACAAGAACTGCCCTTACTCACCAAGGGACAGTTAGTCATCCACAGAAACAGGGCTGTATGCTTATTTTGTATCAGTTATGATAAATTAATTAGGTTATTTGTAATAGAAAACTGTCTTGAAATGGGTTCATTCAATTTTGTAAAAAATAAATAAAATTGTTGACATTGGAACAAATTAATGGAGCAGAAGAGTTCGGTAGTAGTCTCTTTTGTGTGAGTAAATGTTGATTAGGAATGAAACAGCAACACTCGACACGACAGCTTTAAGACTTACTTTAAAAGAGTGATTATGTCATTATTGGCTTTGTGATTCGATTTTGACAGAGCTGGCCAGCTGCTCTGCCAACAAAGGACACTCTCGCTGCCAAGGCCAGCTTATTGCAAAAGTCTGGCAGAAAAGCAAGCAAAGCCTTTCTAAAATAGTCAACTATAGTCTGTTGTTTCACTTTAAGTATGTATTCTGTGCTGCTTCTGAACTGTTTTATTAAAAAGTTGTGGCTAACAAACACCCATTTTCTAAGGAGAAACTTTTTTGCCTCATGCAAAAAGGGCTTCTTTTCATTTTTACCTGTTTTGGTGAGGGGATGGGTGACCAGTTTGCGAGTGAGCTCGTTTTCTGACGACCTCAGCAGCAGGACGATGTCGGCTGGTAGCGTGTCCCTGTTCTTGGCCAAGAAGCCTGCAGCATTGTAAATCACCTTAGAGTTTGGTAGAGAGGGGGAATGTGAAGGCCACTACACATTCAGTTTCAAATAAAATGTCTGTGCACACATAATTAAAAAAACAAACATCAATTACCTTCCCAGCGTAGTGGTGAATACCAAAGCCAAGGTCAACCCTCTTTGGTCTCCAGAAGCTTTTTGTCTTGAGGTTAGTTTCAAATTTCTCTAAAATGGTAAATGGTACATTGGTTAATTATCCCAACAACCACTATGAATATGTTCTGTAGGCAAAACTAACAACTCTGAATGACATCTCTGAAGCGCATACATTTATTATACCTTATATCAATTTATTTAAAAGTGATTATATACCTCTGAATATCAAATACATGCTTTTCTCTCTGCCAGTTTACTCTAAGGAACTGTACTTTCTGTTTCTGATTGCTATAAAAAGGGAATTAAACTGCTCTGAGATAGTGAATAACTTTCAGTGTCAGTGTCAGTGTCAGTGGCTTGATTTAGATATAAAACCCTCCTTCATTGTCCACATAATAAAAAGTCTTCCCTTGCTCCATTAGTCACTTGTTCTGATTTGTTTCTGTGGGGCTAGTTGACAATAATCCAACCTAATATAAGTAAGCTAATCGTAAACTGAAGAGACTGACCTACGAGGGTCTGGTCGGTGCCCTGTGGGAACCGACTCTCCTCATCCAGAAGTGAGAGCATCCCCATGGGCTTCTGTAGGAACAGGTCCAGGAGGGGCCTGTTGTCCTCATACTCAATCATCCGAGCGTCCACCTCCTCATTCAAGTACTCATCCTGTACAGAAATGGAAGACACCCTGATAACAATCATAGCTTAATAAAGATTGTTGAATTCCTATTAGGTTATGTTTATTTCTCCAGGCGGTCCCCTTGGAGACGGTCCCTGGGTGCTGCGCAGTGGCTGCCCACTGCTCCTAATTAGGATGCGTTAAATGCAGAGAACGAATCTCACAATACGTTGTACATAGTTGGATGTTAGGGGACAAATAAATGGTCCTATCGGGCTGACCCAGCTCCACTATGGCAGAAAGAGCAGCTGGCTGTTCAGCCAAAAGAGAAACATGTTAATATTTATGTAACATTTGCTTCAAAATAACAGATTACCATGTCGACTTCATTGCGCAGAAGTGAACATGATAAAACGAAAAGCCCAGATAGTTCGCACTGATGATATGTTTCCTGCTACACAGCTGAAATGTCAGTAATTTAAAGTCAGAAGCTGTTTGTTCTGTGGTTTCAAGTAATGAGAATTCTTCTAGTTTTGTTTTGACTTGGTGTTATTATGTCAAATGCAGGAATACCATTTCCTATCCTAACCAGCCATTTTCTGTTCTCTTAGCTTTGTTTTGTCACGCCTGAATGTTCAGAAATCCTAAACTTTACAGTAAGACTGACGCATTAGAGGCAAAGGGATCAAAGACCTACTACTTTATACTCGGCTAACCTGATCACATCATGTTGACTGACTCTGAGAGCTCCCAGTATGACTCAGCAACATTACTGGAGACTTCCGCTCCGAGAAGAAAAAGGACAAAATGGGAGCAAACAACATCAAATCAACGTGCTTATTCGAGCATGACCTGCACATTGTGAGGTAAACCAGCCACATCAGGAAACCTGCAGGGATGCCTACACATTGAGACAATCTGTAAACATATATGTACACGTGTAGGTAAATCTGCTTTATTTTACTGTAGTTAGGTGATGCTTATAAACCTCATACCCCACTACAATTCCCCTATGCTCCGTATATATGGTGGCACTATAGGACAAATGTATTTCTGGGCCTGGTGCCAACAATACCCAAGAGTGAGATTAAGTCCAACGCTAACTGTCTTCAACTCCTAATTGACCCTCATTTGGGATGATTTATAGCTCCTCTCTCTGGGTGAGACCAAATCATTTAACATTAGCAAACCATTCTCTGCACCCTCAAGGCACGACACACCCACGAGACTGCATAAAGGGAAAATCGCGAACCTCATTCTCCCGTAAATAAAGACAGCAGCATATTTTACCCTTGCCATCTCTCTTAAAGCTCAGAATGACAAATGATGGCATGTTATCACCATTTAGATGGAGATGAGGTAGTATCAAGGTGAAAAATGCATAGAAAGTGCTTTCAGGGAGGGATTCATGCACTCAAAAAGCCTTCTTCGATTTCAGTGATAGTTTAGTAGGGTGAATGCTGGTTAAAGTTTTTACCTGTTCCCACGCGAATATGTGCTGGTTGAAGTAAAATTGGATCTGCTCATTGGCGATGTTGATGCAGAGCTGCTCGAAAGAGTTCTTCTTGAAGTTCTCAAAACCGAAGATGTCCAGGATGCCGATGTTCAAGCCCTTGTCATCCTCTCTGGTGATGAGAGGAAAGATAAGTCAGTTCATTTAAGTACGTTTTTCATAAACAAAATTCTGTGTTTTAATTGGTTTTGCATTTCGTGTCCACTGCAGTTTGGCAGCATCGCAGCTTCACCAAAAGAATATATAGGTAAATATTATCAGTGAAAACAGGGTTTAGACACAACGAATGACCACCAAAAAAACCTTATTTTTGTCCAACCGCTGTGTATAAAACTGGTTGTGGTTTCTGCCTTTTTGGCAGCTGACCCCTGGAAATGAAGCATTCTGGCCTCATGTCATAGGGTGCATTTGTGTATGAATTGCTTTCATTAAGTCGGCAAGTAATTTTTTCCTTCTCAAATAGGTTTATAGTCCTTGTCCTATAGACCTTTTAAAGGTCAAAAAAATAAATAAATAAATCTAATATTTTTACCACCATCTACTCACTGGCTCCAGTCTAAATAAACATAATTTGGGGTTGTAAAAATCTTTTTTACTTTTCTAGTTAATTATCTCTGATGATCTCTGACATGCTCACAATGAAATATGCCAACATGGTGTTGTATAGCAGCTTTGATGTTTACCACGGTCACCATCTTACTTTACCTCGTTAACATGCAAACATTTGCTAATCAGCACTTAACACACAGTACAGGTGTTGCTAAGAAGGTTGGTAGCTATTTGGAGATAAAATGTATTAAAAAGTATTATAAGTTCAGGAACATGAAGGTGTGTACCCAATTCTGTGGCAATCCATCCATTAGGTGTCAAGAGAATTCACTCAAATCCACAAATGACAACCTGCTGGTGGCGCTAGGGGAAATGTTAGAGGCTCACCAAAGTCATTAGAATTCCTCTTCTGGGGACCATGAATATCTGTACAATATGTCATGGTTATCTAAAAGTGGTTAAGATATTTTAGTCTGAAGAGCAGTAGAACAGCTAAAAATTGGCAAATAACCTGCTATGATTTTCTCGATTCTTCCGGCAAATTCCACAATTTTCAAGACCTGGAAATGATTTTTCATCCATACAATAGAAACTGACCTCATTCTGCATTTATGACAGCCAAACACACCGCATCACATTTTTTTGCTCCTGATCTCACCCTAGTTGGCTGTCAGGCCGCAGCAGTGCGTTGATGCGGTTGACAATCCAGCTGAAGAGGCGGCCGTAGAGAGCCTTGCCCATGGCGTCCCTCACCTCCGCCGCCTTCTCCACCGTGTTGGGCCTGACGATCGTCTCTCCCCTGGCCACAACACAGTGGGAGGTCAGGGCTTCCTGGAGCTCGTCTGAGCGGATACACAGCAGCGACGCCACTAAGGGGACATAAGAAAATGACTGGGATGAAAGTTAACATTTCTAAAGAAGAATGAGTGCAAGCAGTTCATGCAGGGTGAGCTAATGTGCAAGCATAACTGTCCTGACAAAAATAAGTGACGAAGAACGCCCATGTTTTCATCGATCACATCAAATCTTCAATCAATAAACCTTATCTAGACAGTCAGAACTGATGTTTAAAATTTGAAAATGTAATACCAGGAAAACAATGTCCTTTAGAATCTAACCACTGCAGATGCATGTTTGTTAATGATGTAATACAGCAATAGCCTGTCTGCGCTGATGGAAAATTGATTTCAGAACAATACTTTAACAGGGAGGAGGGGAAGAGGGAGGGTAAGGAGTGGGGGTGTCGCAGAGTCATCTTTGGTATAAATATACCATGCCTCTCTCCTCTCACCGTTCTCCAGGACAGAAATGTTGGAGATGTCGCTCTTGTCCGTTTGGTGCTCCGAGGCCACCGGAGAAAACTCGATATCCCCAGAGCTGAGGATAGCAGCCAGGGTGCTGTAAACACTGCCCAGCTCCTGCAGAAATGACAAAATTTTACTTCAGATGTTGGGAGTTATTTTGATATCAGATAACATCAGGTACATCTGGCAACCTTGTGCACCTGCTTACCTGGATTTAAATTTTAAAAGATACTGTAAAGCCTATTTTTCTACAGCATGTCAGAGAACATTGAATTATTAGTCAATACCACCACTTTCTAATGAGTGTAGACAGTTCTGTTGGTCCTGCTGTCCCAGAGATCAAGGAGAATGATCCATAGACTATAAAAAAATATTTATCCCACAAAAGCTGTGATGCTGTGGCACCAGGACTCTGTGGTCAGAACCAGGATGCCAGAAGAGGGTGATTGCAAAAAGTGAGCAGTCTGATGAGGAGGTTTAAGTTGAATGATAAAGCATGATTAAGAGTGAGCAGTGATAAAATTTAAGTTGAATGATTAATAAGTATCTTGTAAGTTTATAAAACAATTTACTGTTTAATGTTTTAAGTACATTTAATAGCAATAATTTAATTTAGCTTCAAATTTCACTCTGGCCTCTTCTTTAAGTTTGTATTTGACATAATACCTTATTATCTCAATTAAAAGGATGGAAACAAATGTATATGTGACATAAAAGGCAATTTATTATTTTGGCCGGTAAAAACATGGATTTTTTCATCTACCAGGCACCTTGGCAGGTGAGACAAAAAGTTCATTTCCACCCCAGTAAACCTGCCTCAAAGATCATCTTCATAAACACTTTTATGTAAGACATACTGTAGAAGAGAACTTTGTTTCTCCAGTGCCAAGCCATTACAGGATAAGTACTATTGACGTGGAGATCCCAGAGGACCATTTCTTTGGGCCTCATTAGCCTTCACAATGCCAACAGCTGACTGCCTACGTGTGCCTCCAGCTTTGTGCTCCATCGCCATACAGTGGACCTCAGGAACAACTTGTATGCTTGTATGTAAAACTTGTATGTAAAACTTATGTTATGTATTGTTTTTTATTACATGCTCTTTCAGTTCTACACAGACTTTCATACATTACATAATAATACATGAGTATGAGAGCATGTATGAATGTTGGGGTAAAGGTCGTGCAGCTTGCTGCCCAGTAATTAATGCAGTACTTTGTACCTCCAGGGTGAATCCAATGACTTTGAAACACTGCTCGACTGCATCAAACTGCTCCTTGTAGAAGGTGTTGCTCACTATGTCAGGCCCTAATTTAATGTGCTCGTTGCACAGATACCTGCAGATACAGAAGGAAACACAAAGATCAGGATTCGGGTCTCTGGAAGTGGCAAGTTTGCGGTGTGAGTAAGAAATAACAGTGTTTAAGAGGACGGCTAAGAAATATCAAACCTACTTAGGTGTTTTGCTGTCGGAGAGCTTGTAGTGGGCTAGTTTCTTCCTGTCAGCCAGGCCAGCATAAATGTAGTAGAATATGTGGAAGTTCCTCTCCCCTCTGTGGAAACACACAGAGACGTAGTAATTCAGACCTTAAAAGCGCAAGAAATGCTGATATAAGACAATAAAGAAGGAAGAAACAAAATATGCTAAAAGCTACGAAAGCACACAGACAGTGCACACCTCTGAAAATGTTGTTAAAGAAGCATTCAACTGATTTCATCCGTCAACATCAGTTTACTAGTAGTACTCTACGGAGTCCAAAACAAAATGTAGGGAATGGTTATCAGACAAGTCAGAAATATAACTTACTATATCAATAAATAATATAGTTATTATGCTATCAAGCTCACATTTTTAGCATTAGGTTGCTGGCTAATGATTAATGATTGTGTGCATTGGCTTATGGATATATTCAGTAATATTTTTGACTTGTCAAATAACCCTTTTTTTTTCTTTTATCTTTTACATTTTGTCAGTTAGAACTGAACTCAATTTTGTTTTTCATCTCCTTGATATTAGTATCCAATAACAGGCTTAAGAAAGGTGTAGCTACACACAGTGCTTGTGGGCCAAATTAAACCCTTTGACCTGTGTGTCTGTTTTCTGCTGCAAAACCTGAGTCTGCCTTTGAGGTTCCACTAAGGACACTTTCAAGACCACAATCTTTGATCATAACAGGAAATAAGCTAGCCTCTCCACTTGACCCAGTCTGCTCCCCCAGACGCATGATAAGAAGAAAAGATGGATTGACTGAAGTGCAGGTTGAAGGTAAATGCCACCAGTTTCAGATGGAGAAGTAGAGGGAAAGGGATGAGAGACACAGTCCATTATGAACTGATCCCTGGCCAGCAGGCGGAAAAATTACCTTCTTGGCAATGGTCTTACAGAGGCAGGATTTAAATTTGTATTGATGTAATTGTCAAATGAAGGAAATAACAATAGTAAGTGTCACAGGGTTGCTTACATTTTACAAAAAGACAGAAAAAGACAAAGAAAGAAGGATGTGATAGTTACACTGCCTGGTGGATGACTCTAGATTTCTCCAGCAAGTACTCAGATATCTGCGCTCCAACCACTGTTCCTCCACAGGTGAACTTCATCTCCAGGTACTTGCCAAAGCGGCTGGAGTTGTCATTGATGACAGTGCAGGCGTTCCCAAAAGCCTCCACCAGGTTGTTAACCAGCAGGATCTTCTCCTGGAGTGTCCGATTATTGGCCTGAATAAAACATTATTCCAAAACTGGGAAATCAAAGGTAGGTAATAATTCTTTCGTTGAGAAATGCATGAGATGCATGATTTGCTGTCATGTGCCTTCCCATTCCTGTTATTCCCATCAAAAGTGACACTTCTGATTCCTCATTTCATCTTTCCACTTAATAAAAAATGCACAAAAGGAATTAAAACTGAATTTTCTTTTCAATCAAGCTGCAAATCATGACTGGCACCAGATGGAGCGTCAAATAAACAGATCATAGGATGTTAAAATCGCCTTAACGATGAATTTTCTAACTATCCAAAGTTGGCTGGAGGAGTGCAGGTGGCAGGCCAAGACCCAAAAAAAACAAACATTGTGCAATTTAAAACTGTAACTTTGTAGTTCCATTAAGTCTGAAATGCTGTAGGATTTTTATCTCTAATGTCCTGATTCTGTCAGTCACAAATTCTGACTTCTTACAGGTGAAAATTTTTATTGTTAAACGTTTTATCTGAAAAATAGCTTCTAAAATCATTGTATTTTGTTTACTTTAGGAAGACTACTCATTGGGAATTGAATAAATAAAGGAAGGACACTTGTGACTCACCTTCCCAAGAACTGTCAGTTGCTGCACCAACAGATGAGCACTCTCTGTTTTCCCAGCTCCACTTTCCCCACTGATCACAACACACTGTGCACAGAAAGTCATAGAAATTACTGTGACGTTAGCTAACAAAATGACTCTACATAAAGATATTTGACTCCATTATTAAATACAGCTAGTTAACTCAAACACCACAACATCAAACAGCATCGCTTAAAAACAACTTTCTGCACTCTGTAAAATAATGAATAAATATTTTACCTGGTCTGCGTTGTATGAAACCATGGACTGGTAGGCAACATCTGCCACAGCGAAGATGTGTGGTGGGTTAGCTGTACGCTTTGCTCCTATATACATCTTAGTGTACTATGAAGAAAGAGGGTTGAGAATGAAAACATTTATTTAAAAACGTGCATATGAATGGAACAGATACCATAAAGCAGACATTGTGCAGAAGAAAATGAAATTATGTTATTTTATAATAATGGTGCAAACTATCTTGCCATATAATACATAATATTTTTTGTTCTGGGAGGAGAGGAATGAAAAATGGCTACAAACTTGAGGCAAAGAAAAACATGATGATTGGGAGGAAAATACAGTCAGTGAGGCATGAAAGAGGCAGGGAAACAGGGGCAGTGTGTGCGATTGTGTGTGTGGAGGTGAGGCTAAATGGGATGCAGCAGACTGAAGAACTGCAGAGGCACTAATGAGATACATTCAGTGCATTATTGACCAAATGTACAAGCACGAGTGTACAAAAAACCCCACAAAGGCGTATACCCTCAGACCTGAGGAGTGTATATCTCCATCTTATGGAAAGGATTGACTGCAATGAGGATATCTCCCACATAGGTATAAATCTGATCTCTTCCATAGCGACTCTGAAGATGCTCAGTCACGGTGTTCTGAAAAAAAAAAAAAAAAACACACAAGCATTATTCATTTAACTGGTTTAAAATGTTTCCTAAACAAATTAACACCTAGATCATTGTCAGAACCGTATTATGAGAGACAACTAGTCGTACTTCAGCTTATGTCCTGCCTAAAGTCAAGGCCTATGACGCCTGTTACATCAATGTATTATCTTCATGTCATCATGATTAATTCTCCTGTCTCCACACTGCCAGGACAGGTACATTAACAACAGCAGGGCGGCACTGCCTCCCTCATACCAGCAGAGCTCCTCACGTTGAGGGATGGGTGGAAATATCCGCTGGCAACTGAGACTGATTGTATCATTCAATACGTCAATGCAGCGTTCAGATTTGATAAATTGCTGTAAATGTTATATGTGCAGAAGATGCTGCCATGCATTTCTCTTTCTGTGGTTGTTCAAAACACCAAAATGGTTGATCGGAGGGGAAATTATGCTGAATGTTCGAGTTAACAGTGAGAAATAAAACAAATATACCAGCCTTGGACTGTGTCACTGTGAATATTTTATAGTACGATTGGCATACGTGGGATGCAATCATCAAAACATATGATATATTTATTGTAATAAACATTTAATTAATCTTGATTGATGAGTGAGAATGAGTCAGTTAAAAGTCCCAGAAATGCTACAAAATGGGCCTTGACTATTTTGACAACTGCTGTTTCCAAGAAAACAACAAATGTCATAAAATAATGTGCAGTCTAAAAAAGCCATGTTTCTCCACAATAGAGGATTAAATCATGTCCTTTGTCATGAAAGACAATGAGAGTTGTACTATATCTGACAACTGTAATCTGTTTACACCATTTTTGCTTTATTGTGTCTACTGTGAGAATGGCTCTGTCACCAAATATTATTGTTTTGTTATTGAGATACTTTTATCTGTCAACAGACTGTCGACTTTCTTACCTCATCCAGAACTTCCAGGGTGGCGAGGTCATCCACCTCGTCAGGGTCCGTCTGTGTCTTCATGTGGCTTCCTCTTTTAGTGTGGATGCGTTCATGCCTAGAACTCACAGAACCCACAACCAAGTCTCTCCACTGAGCAATGGATGTAATATATATACTCTACATGGCAATCTAAGTAATCTAAATTCAAATTCAATACATAATGAGCATTGTAACAGTGCCTGGTGCTGCTAAATATATTGTGGAAGCGAAATAATACATCCCTTTACTTAAAAAACACAAAACAACATAAATGTAATCAAAGCTTCAACTAGATAAAGATCTAAATGTAGCATTAATGCTGAAGCATGGGGCCCACCAGCATGCAGTTCCCTTTTAGGAAGCCAGAAGCAGACTCAAATAAACTTGCTCTCTGCCACCAGGAAACCTCTTCATTCCCATTTTTACTGAACACCTCATAAACAAATGAATCTTTCTTTTCTGTTCACCAGTGCACCAACAGATTGGATCATTCAAGACCACAGCCTTGCAATGTACTGCTATGTTTACAAACTCTACATAGTAGGGAAATTGTACCAGGAGATCTTCATCATTTTTAATATTTACTCGAATAGACATGACTTCTGAACTTTATAACTAATATCTAAATAATTTCAAATACCAGCTTAAAAAACACCTGGAATTATCAAAATACAATTAAATAAAATAAGAATGTCAGCAAGCTACACTTGGATTTAGCTTTACTGGCCTAAAAATCACCTACTTACAAAAGACTGTGGTTTTTAGGAAACTTATTAGAGTCTACTGTTTCCTCACGTAATTTGATGTGAGTATAAGTTTGATTACATATAATTACCAGCCACAACTGCTGTAGTTGGTTTACAATGAAGGTCATAACCCCAATTGCACTAAGGTAATGGTTCTCAAAGTGGGGTCTGGGGACCCCCAGGGTTCCTTAAAGGGGGTTCCAGAGGGTCTCAAGCAAAAAGGGGAATCATTTGTTTGCACCATAATTGCATCCGTGAGTAACACAGAAACGGACGTATAAGTATGGCTATTTTGGTCATAGGTTTCATGCACTTTCAGTAATAAATAATCTAAAAGCAAAAATCATATCAGATGGGGAGTCCTGGGACTGACAAATCCTAGCAAAAGGAGGTTGGTGGTCTAATTTGTGTCCATTTAGGGGTCCATGATATGAAATGTTTGAGAACCACTGCACAACAGCATCAAATGATGGGACTATACGAAAAGAAAAGGTAGACACCAACAATACTCATCACTCAAGTTTTCCATGGCAGGGTGGCAGCATGTAAACAGTCTAATAATCACCAGCCCATGTAGTTGAGTGGAAATACATGTGCGATCACAAGCTAAAAAAGCCAATAATCATCTACACCTACTGTTGCATAAAGGTCATATAGGCATTTGTTACCTGTCATTACTGTCTGTGCTTCTGTCTGTCTTTCCATGATGGCTTAAACAACAGAAATAGGATTAACATTTCATGACCGTATTTGCAATACACTTATTCTGGGCCAACATTTTTGACTCATGTGACACATACTGTGGATCCTACACCTCGAGCGAAGCTGGAGCAGGATTGAGCGGTTGTTTATGTGAGGGTGACAGCGCTTGTAAAACATCCAGCAAGGAGAGCAATTTGGATTATACTGTCTGCAAAAGTTAAGCTGCGGCCTAACATATAAAACCCACTGACAGAAAGGCTTGCAGACTTTAAGTTTTTCTTGGGGTTTATAACAACATCCATCAAACATGTTAGGGTGTGGGAGTATTCTGCTCATACTGCTAGATACATATTAGTAGCACAGCTTCTAACTTGTCACAAATACATGTAGCAATTCCAGATTTGTGACAGGAAACCTACACATATATTCACGCCAGACAGTACCTTGTTTTTTCAGTGACTCCTATTTGTTGGTTGAGATCAATGAGTTCAATCAATTGCTTCTGCAGTATTTTCTCTCTGCTAACAATCTGTTTGATGAAAACATGCTGGAGCAGGTCTAGCACATTCGGTCTCAGCTCAAAGTCCTTAATCAGACATCTGTGGAGAAGAACAGGAAAAGGTGGAAGAGGAGAATGCGCAATGACTTTCTGGGATTTATATTCAAATATTCTCGTTATCTACTATCAGTGTAAATATGTATCATTCACAGAGGCATAACAAACACGCTAGCATCCGGCCTCACTTGCAGATGAAGTCATTAAAGTCGTCTGACCAGAGCTCCGGCTGGTGGAGAGTAGGAGGAGGATTTCTGTTAAAAGAAAGCAATGGAAAAGATAAATGGAAAGATAAGATGAGATGGGATTTACAGAGGCGGGGCGGAGAACAAAAGGCCAAGGCAGAGACTGGAGTGAAATCTTAACTATTTGTCATCTAAGTCCTCCAGGGGTGTTTCTGCGTTAGCATGAGGCAATAATAAATGGCGCTCGACATGTGCAGCTGGGCGATATTGGTACATGAAAGAAAAGCAATACTCGGTAGCATTGTATATCAAATATAATCAGATCTTAAAAAGGTTTCTCCTGTAAAAAAACCTTTACAAAATGTTAAGTGGTCACATGTAACAAGGCTTCACAGCCGCTTCACAGCTGAGCTAATTTGCTGTAATTCCTCGTTCTGCTTAAAGTAGCTTTTTACAAGAGGGTTCCTGGCAAGTGGTGAGGAAGTCAATGCTGCCTGCTAATGCACTGGGGCCCTTTTCACATTGGCTCTGACAGCGATAAATTGGTCTAATGAGAGGACATACATCTCCTGTTTATCACACAACACACCCAATATAGACAGCAAATGCATGAGACATTAATTTGGAGTATGTTCTGCTAATGATGTGACTATTAAAGGGTTTTTCTTATTTGGAAGACAAACAGGGTCATATGGAGGCAAAAAGTCACACTAATAAATTACAGTATATAACTATTTATTTTTTTTATAATTTACTATCCCCAGGTACTGAAGTGAATGCTGTATTTGCCCACTGTGTCCTGCAGTAACTTCACTTTGTACAGTATGCCTATGCAAGACAAATTCAAATCTTCTCTTTTGCACATAATGAAGGATAAAAGCTTAAATCCTTACACATTGTGCATAATTAGGAGATGACTTTTAATCTTGCTCAAGAGTATGATGTTTTGAGCAGGGCTTTGACTTCTGTACACATGTCATCCCAATCCCTCCCTGCCTGTCTCTCTTTCTGTCTTTTATTTAAATACACGGTAAAAAAGACAGACATAGACTTGTGCTTTATGTTAATTCAAACTTTTTTCACTTTTTGTCTTGCTGTCTTTCTTCATAGTTGATGCTGGTTTTGAATGTTAGAAGATGTGTTGATTTAAAACTATCTCAAACAATTATTTAAACCCATAAGTACAACAATGAAAGCAAAATAGAGGTCCAGTTTTTAAGGGTAACACATGTGGCACACATTTTATTACAGGGCTACCTTTATTACAGTACGGGAAGCATGAGGAGACTACACCTGGTACTGGTGCCTATTACTACAGTTATAACAATAAAATCGACAGTATTTTAGGCAGTATTTGCTGCAGTAGCACTGTATAAGATTGTATCGTAGGCTACTGAACTGGTGTATATTGTGTTGAATTGTGTCTAGTCCATGTATTAAGAAACTGAGGCATTGTAGAAAACACATCAAAATGAGGACTTTCCTCCTTCATGACATTCTGTTTCTATTTGGTACTATTTAGCTACCCGAAAATAAATAAGATGTGGTTGAATCAACGCCCTCAGCCAAGCTTCTTCCAAGACCTCCTGACGAATGAACCCAGAGTAGTGAGGGGGGGGGGGGGAGTGAGGAGTGTGAACAGACAGCCCGAAGCTCTGGCTGTAGCAGTCACATAGATTCTAGGAAAGCTGGGTGATGGCTCCTGTGGAGCACGACCCCCAGAGCAAACACACAGGCCAGCTATGACACAGAAGATGTCTGTGTGTGTGTGTGTGTGTGTGTGTGTGTGTGCGGGAGGGTGTTTTATGTGTTTGTGTGTGTATGTGTAGGAGGAGCACACTATTTCAGGGCATTGATGGACAAAGTGCTGTGCCGTTAAGATGACAGTGACGGTAAGTGCTTATGCAGCTCTCACACTGGAATCAGGAGACGATAAACAATTACTTTTCACCTTCAGCCCACAATACACTCCGATGAAAGAAGGGTGGCTTTGCTCTCAGCCTCCCCCACAGGACGAATGGGATCAGTGCCAGGAGGGGGGAGTGGTTTATGGATAAGCCCCTGCTAGCGGAAAAAAGCCATTTGAAATGAAAAGACTGTACTTTGTCTGTTGACGGCCTGTGTAGAGAAGCAAATCACTGCGTGGGGAGCAGGAGATGACTTTTCTGGATTGCAGTATATACACTATAAGGTATTTGTTGAGAAAAGGCTGTGTCTTTAAAGCATTGCAGGCCTTTCACAAAACAGTATCAGCTGAAATGTTTAATCAGTGATTGAATTTGTACATTGACAAATAAAAAACATTGATAATATATTAATCTTTTAAACATTTAATCAAGAAAAACTGCCAAACATTATGGTGGTTTCAGCTTTTTTTTCAAATGTGAGGAGAGAGCTAAAGAAAGTGCAAGGTTGAGGGCAACTCCATGAACTTATAATATTGTTTTATAATTCCACATAATTTGAAGCTATTGAATAAATTCACTGCATGCTAAAAATTACAGTGACATACAGCCTTGACCTAAGCAAGGGTAAGATACTGGCATGTACTGTCTGTTAAGGTAAGGATCAAATATGTATTCATGCTAATGCTTGCTTGGTCTACTGTGGCCAGTTTCTGCCACTTTACTGTATAATATCTGCATTCACATTCTCAAAGGGAGTTCAAACTTCTCAGTTTGTTGTAATCAGGAAGTCGCCACGTTCAAGTACATCAGACTGAGAGACATGCAGGATGTCAAGAAGATAAAGGTCGTTATTTCTTTACTCTGACATGGTCATAATCAAATGTATCAAAATAAGAGAGAAAGGAAAAGAATATTGTGAGTGATAAATGCAAATGAGGCTGTTAGCGGCTCCAAACATTTAATCATGTGGTTGCAAATGGTAATTTTGCCATTTCATTGCCAAATCAATCTTATTTCCAAAACATTTATGAGAATTACAACTTTTACTTAATGCACGTAATATTTTATTAATTATAATATTGTTAGAGCCATTTGTAGAAAGTTTATTTTGTGTGCTTATTTACCCGCAGCTCTGTGTTTACGTTGCTGCCCTTTGCTTAATTGTAACTACATTAATAATGTTTGCAGTCAGCCCTGGCTTCTGATAGGTCAGACGATGTGCCATGCTGCCTGTGCTCGCTTAGCCAGGAGAGGGTTTTGAGTAAAGCTGTGGAGCTGAGAGCACACTAGTTTTTGACTGTGTATTTTGTTGATAATTTCTTTTTGTCATGAAGAAAGCTTCAGTAAACATTAGGAAACAAAGAACGTGGACAGCAGAGTTTTTTTTATTGAAGCATGTGTCAACTATGTGCTTAATTGGCTTCACAGTTTAAGTGGACGTTTTAGAAGAAATAGAACTATGATATAATTTAGATAACAGATTTAGGTCAGCGCTGTGGCTAAATGGTTAGCACAGTTACCTTAAAGCTAGAACCTACCAAATTGCCAGAGGCAGGGTTAAAGTCACAGCCCCCCTTATAATGATGACAGATTCTTGTGTGGGTGTGATGGAGGGTCACCTGGGTATTTTGAAAAGGGCTCTCATTGGGTGGAGTTCAGAGAGGGGTGGGTCTCCATCTCCCAGCTCTATGGCGGTGATGCCGAGTGACCAGACATCACAGCGAGCATCGTAGGTTGAGTCCAGCTGCTGCTCGCATGCGATTACCTACAGCAGACAGAAGGCAATGACAGAACCAAAATATTTTAAGAGAATTACAAAAAACAGCATATATGAGAATTACAAAAAACAGTATATGTGTGAGTCATGTTACATATGCTAATTTGCATTTTGTAACATTAAAGCCAAAAGCATTACTGAGCTCAAAGAAGTTTGATAAAAGTGGTTTGTGTGTTTATAGTTTTCAAAGCAACATACGGCTAATAAAAGAAATTCAAAGAGAGCACAAATGACCGTGGAAAGTAATCTGCAACTTTGTCAGTGACACAACAAAACCTGAAAAAAGCCAAAGTTAGCCATCAGCCAACATCTTGGTGAATTATCATGGGAGTTCAAAGATCTTTTTGGGAACAAGTCTACTTCCTTTTCCCTCAATGGCTTCACCTATAATCAGATCAAAATATAAGAAAAATCTTTGTTTTAAGAAAATCTCTTTTATCCGATCAGAGAGATGAAAGGTCTGATTTCCTGTTAGTAAATACTAAAAGTCCGAGCCTACTTCCTTATTAGGGAGTTAATATTCACGTATTATTAGTTGATTTTTAAATGTATATTGTCAGCCCTTGCACACACACCTACGTTAAAATAAACAAACAGAGCAAAGTATATTGTATTATCAAGTAACTGAATATAAATTGTAACAGAACTCAGCCAAAGCTACAGTGTAATCATCATCTGCCGTGGGCAATATAGTGCGAGTTCACACCCACACACACATACACACACACACACACAGTCAATCATCACTGTCTTTAGGGCAACATGGTACCCAATCAACAATATGAATCATCTCTGAGCGGGAGCATGTATACACATAACCACACACAAAACGCGCACACACACACAAAAAACGTTTATACCCATTATTGTCAGATGTCTGAAATCAATATAGTGTGTTCAACCAGTGCTCAATAGACAAGCAGAAAACCATTACCAGATCATCAATAAGACATCCTAAAACACAAGAGCACACACACTCCTTCATGAAAACAAAGTATTCTGTTGTACCGTGACATAAGAAATCGGTTCTCACGTGTGACTTTAAGTGAACAAAATGTATCCCAAAAATAACAAAATATATACTCTTAACACAGTCAATAAAGTAAATAAAATAAAGCTCATTCAAAATGTATAACATTGTGTAAACATGACACAACTTACCGCACAACTCAAAGTCACATAACCAGATCTTCTTTAGAAAGTAGCTAAGACCGTGTCTGTATAGATCATCCAGAATGTCTGCGCGTACCGGGGAACTATAATACTGTAGATCCTTGTTTACAAATCTCACTCCTTTCAACCTTTCAAGATTTTCTAGTCTAGAGAGTCCACCCAAGATGCGTTCTTCACAGAATATCTTACACAAATGAGATTAAAATCCTCAAGTCCTGACAGACCGTGTCATGCAGGGTATATTGTACTGCACAATTTGCACCACATGCAAACCTCATGTAAAAATGTCCATTTCGATTTGACAAGTGGACATGCAAGGTTCCTCTGTGAAGGACAAAACGGGAGACACCATCCACACTGGGAGGAAACATTTAAAACTAGCACAGGTGCAGTGGATACAAAGTGTAGCTGTGGTGTATAAGAATTTAAATTCACTAGTTTAATCCCTAAAAAAGTTGCTAATTGTTCATCTAATCTAATCTATATCAGTGAGGTTGTGCAGACGGGTGGTTATGGGATGCCACTACGAGCTGAGGTTTTCCAGCGGTGCTGTGGGTTTATATTAAATATAAATGAAAGGTGCCTGTTTCATAACCCTAAACACGCCTCTGGTCTTGCTGAACACCTTGTCCTGACATTCAAGTTAGCTCACAGAAGGCCATAAATGCTATCACGGCACAGTCAAGACGTCAGCTGAACTTAAGTTGAAAGTCTAGACAATTTGCTTTTTCTGGTAGTGTGTCCTCTACTAAACTTCTTTAACACTGCCTTAAGTAAGTCTATTATATGTTTTTGTGTTTTGTGTTTTTGTGTTGTGCATTGAGTTCAATGACAATGTTTTCTAAATCCTTCAGTTTTACAATATTTGTGCCTGGCAACAACAGTATGGTTAAGGCGTGGCAATGAAAACACTTGGTTAAGTTAGGGAAAGGATATGGTATTCTGTCTGCTACTCGGGTGTGTCATGCTGGTAACAGTTAATGTGGCATACTGTAAAAGGCATAAAAGTCATTTATACTACCCACCTAAACACCACTGTGACCTCTAAACTCTTAATTTACAACTTGCTATATAAAGCCCAGACTACTTCCTGCACTGGCAATAAATAATGTAAATCTGTGCATCAGCTATGTAATTCCTAGGAATACTAGGCTGCGAGTAAACATTTGAAAAGCCAGTGATGTCAAACAACACACGGAAAGTGCAACTGTTTCTCTGCTGAATGACTGAAGTAAGGAAGCACTCCTATACAGAAACAGGCTTTCAAGAGAAAAGACATCAATCATTGTCATAAAATGAAGAAATCAAGAGCAAGATCCGCAAGTTAACCAGAGAGACCATCTCATTTTATAAACGTTATCCTTGTACAACACAGGAAAACGTTACATTACCCTACCATAAAAAGTAATGGACAAGGGGATGTGAGTATGTAGGTTCTTGATGTAGCCATTTCTATATAGATGGTATTAGGGCTGACCCCCAATAGTCGAAGATTCGATGCTTCGATGGGCGGAGCCTGATTCGACTGTCAATCTCACAGTCGAAGCAGCAAAAGGATCACGCCATTTTGGCGATATAGGGGTGCTCAACGTCTGATTTTACACAGAACTACCAGTTTTCTCCCAATAAGTCAATATACATCCTATTACAATATACATCAATGTTTAATGCTATAAATAAACATGTAAAAAGAATAAAACTTTCAATAAATGTTTTTAAAAGTGCGTAAATAAATCCATAATTGTGACCCTAACCCTGGGTTGTCAGTGCGCATGTGTAGGTGTAACGTGTGTGTGTGTGGTGACGTTGTTCGCACTTCGCGGGACTTTCGGATAATTTATCACCATTGATGAACCACACAAAGAATATTTATAGCCGGCTACTTGAAATAGACCTGCGAGGAACCGCAGCGTGCATGTAGTTGTCGGCATGGCATGCAAGCAAAACTCACACAAGACCGGTGAATGACAGGTGAGAGAGAGAGAGAGCGAGAGAAAAGGGTCTTCAAAAAGACTCAGTTTAGCTGGAAATGTACAGTGTAAGTTGAATGAATAGAGACTGCAGCTCTGCAGCAGCTTCTCAAGATTAAAGCGGAGCTGCCGTGTGTACCCCATCCCCCCCGCGCACAAAAACACATACGATTCGACTATAGGCAGGACTTTACAATTCTGATTTGACTATGTAAATCCTTAGTCGGGGACAGCCCTAGATGGTATATAAACTGCTTGTGCACTGAGCTACGATTAGCCAGGAAGCGAATGATGGAGGCCGTCAATTCAATTATTTTATGCACACTGTATTTGACAGTGTTATCGCTTTGATGATTATTAACTGTGGCCCACTGGGATCTGCTCCAGACTAATGTAGTGGAAAGAGATGTGGGAGCGTTTATGGGCCAGTTTTACTGTACCTCGGGAGCCATCCAGAAGGGAGTTCCCACTGAGGTATTCCTCCTCAGACGGGTATTTGTCAGCTGGGCTGAAACACCTGCAGGGAAGAGAATACACATTTTAGACATTTTAGCCTCGCTCTCAGGACGTGCCCTCAGTGGAGACAATTTGCGCTATCTCAATAGCTTTCTTGACACATGTTCCCCCCCCCCAACAAAGATCAGACTGGCTGGTAAAAGTGATGATCTGTGAAAAGGAGAAGAGTAAACAGTGGGGTTCTGCTCAACTGATATGGCGCTGAATGGATCTTGGAGCTTTCTCGTATCCCACTGATAAAGCTGTCACTATAGAGACGAGCAGGAAAAACAAAACACACATGCATGCGCTCACATGCACACAGAGCCATCAAGTTGCAATGTGTTTTTCCTTCGTTCGATAGATTGCTTTGAATGTCAAATTTTCAAGTGACTGCAGGTGATTTTTTTCGGGCATTTTAAGAACATTTGAATACAATTCAAGTGTAAACAGGCTTTGGCAGCTGGAGACAACATTTCACTTTCTCTCAGACATTATGTGTCTAAGTGATTTACTAGCTTATGTTAGCTTTATCTGCCTACACAAAACAGGACAAAGTCATGTTGCAACAATCCAGTAAGAGATGGATGTCCGCAAAATATGGGACTGCAGAGAGAAAGAGAGGGCATGTGTGTGCTTATATGTGTGTGTGTGTGTGTGTGTGTGTGTGTGTGTTAATGTGGGGTAAAAAGCCTGACAAGGAACATGCTGACCCACAATCACGACTTCAGTGCAGTCGAGACAAATCAGCGTTACACCACACAGTGATGTATCCCAGGGCTGGCTCAGCTGAAGCAGCAGCCAGGACAAAAGCAGAGCCTCTAGACAAAAGCGACTAACCAACAAACAAAAGGTGATCTACTGATGCACGACATGCGGTTGCAACCCATGTTTTTGTCTTGCACAGCATGTGGTGCATTATTTTATGTGAATCTGAGTTCACGATTTCTGCAAAATGTAACTTGTACATGTTATAGTCTAAAGACTTGCAGTATAAAAGCTTTGAGAAAATGAAGGATTCATTTTTTGAAAATGTCAAAAATACAGATGTTGAAATGTGTAATAAATATAAAATGACACGAGACTACACTGCATAAATGTGTTTCTAACAGCATCAGCAATTGTGTCTTGTAAAAGCTCAGTCTGTGCACCCGTGTTTTGACGACTTCATTATTGTCAGTACAGTACAGTAATACACTGATGCTCTGTTGGTGCTGGGGTGGAGATGAGTATTGCAGAGGGAAACAGGCAAACATCCCAAGGGATTAGAAACATGTGCAGGAGGGGATATATGCATAGGGCTGACTCACACACAGGGACCATCAAACCACAAATCCTCTACACATCAAACCCACAATAGTGAGAACAAACCCGTAGTTTTTACATAGATACAGGCGTACACACAAAGATAGATGAAACCACACTACCACAGTAAACCCACAATTATCCGATCAAACTTCTGGTTTCACATACACACTGCTACAATATACATGAAGTATATCAGTGTGTGATGGTACAGAAACACAAAGAGCTCCCTATTAAACCCCTCACAGCCCCTCTCTTTCCACTACATTAGCCCGGAGTGGAGCCTGGTGGGCCACACTTAATAATCATCACAGAGATAACGCTGTCAATTAGAATATTCATGAGAGACCCATGAACGAACAGCTCCCCTCATTCTTCCGCTTCTCTTTTTGGGGCCATCTCTTTGCTATTTTGTTTCTCTACTCGTGATGAGTCACTGCGGGGGCTTCATCTCTTCAGCTGCTTAGTGTAGCGTGCACCCCTCCACATGAAAAACCATTAATCCCCAGTGTGACGCAGTGCCTGCGTGCACCGAGGCAAGCACGAGTCAGCCCCCATTCCCCCGCCTCCCTTACCGTTTTCATCACTATGCAAGTTTTTATTAACGCCGGGCTTATTTCTAAACTTCTGCTCCAATTTTTATTTTATTTTATGATGTCATAACCAATATCTGATATAAATATATTCAGCTGTCGGCGATGTTAAGGACTCGCAAAGCCGATATAACATCGTCATTTTTGTGGTTGTGGTTCACCAGCTGTTTGCACAGGCTGGGAGAGATTTCACTATGGACCTTAATCCGTTCTTTGAATACGGCCAGTCAGCAAACACTTAACTGGCAGATGACAACTTAGGAGGTCATGTGTTATCTGCGCAGTTCTCCTTCGTCTCAGGTGAATGACATGACATTACTTAATGCCATGGAAAGCTGAAACAATCCGATTTTTGCATTTAAATGCGAGTCACATATGTGTGGCATGGCTGATGTTTCAATCTTCAACCAAAACTCTAAACAAGTCTAAGAACCTACATCCATGCCAGCAGCTCTGGGAGGCTGTATTTGAGCTAAATGCTAACTTCAGCATGCTAACATTCTCACAACGACAAAGCTAACATGCTGATATTTAGCAGCTATAATAATCATGTTTTTCACCCTTTTAGTTTGCTAATTAGCACTAAAAACAAAGTACAGCCAGTATGGGTCATGAACCAAAGTTTTGACCTGATGATGGCACTAGATAAAAAGTTAAGACATCACCAAAATTATAACAATTTATCTTGTGGGGAACATAAATATCTGCAATAGTTGTTGAGACATTTCCCTCAAAATCACAAATGTGAACGGTGTTGCTATAGGAAATTTGAAGGTATCATTAGCGTTGTGAGGGTATATCGCAAATGAACTGTAAAAGTCTGTAAATAATTCTGGGCCAATCCATCTGGTAGATAAATGAAAAGCTTGAGCTTCTGATAAAAAGGAGATTGCAAAAATCATTATTACCGTAAAACTTTAATTAAAACCCTAGTCCCTAGATTTTTACAGGCTTGCCCTCTTGAGCTAGTTCAAAGCTGCTTACACCATGCATACAAATATAAACGTTTAAATTTTTGTCAATATGGACATGCTACACATTGTTAGATCAATTAGATTCTCCACAGAGAATTAGATTAATAGATTTACCAATATGATCGGTCTCTCTCTCTCTCTCTCTCTCTGTGCTTGAGGTTGGCCTTGATGGGCTGTCTCTTGGAACTAGATCAAATGAATTAATTATTATTAATTATTATGTTTTCCTGATTTTTATACACCTTATATTCATACTGATTGAAATAAACAATTTGAGAGAAGGATTATTAATTTAATTTAATTTAATTTTACGGTACTCATCCTCTGGGCACCATGAATGTCTTTGTTGTCACAACATTTCTCTAAAAAACTATATCAACTGCTGGTGGCGCCAGAGGAAAAATGAGGGGATTGCCAAAGTCTGTAGAATTCATCTTCTGGGGACCATGAATGTCAGTGACAAATTTCATGGCAATCCATCCAATAGTTGTTGAGATTGTTCAGTGTGGAGTAAAGTGGTTCACCGACAGACCGACAGACAGACCATCATTGCCATCCACAGAGTCACACCGCTAGAGTGGCTACAAAATGTATCTGTGTCACATCAATCAGGACGTTTTTCACTTGTCGTGTGAATGGGACTGAAGTTTTGTCTTTTCTGTTTTCATCCACAGCTTCACAGGGTACAAAGAATACAGCTTAGCACTACTTGAGGTGACAGTTTCAACCTTTTTATATCATATTTTAGTCACATGGTGAAGCGAATGCTGCTTTGGGCATCATTTTCTCACCTCCAATTTGTACCTCTATTCCTGCCTCCCCCTTATCTTTAATGTCCACACTTTAGCATTCAGCATTAAGTTCAGATTTCATTATAAACCCCACTGTTTCCTGTCACCAAGATAATATTTGCGTTTGTTTTGAATAGCAAGCAGAAATATAAGGGCAGATAGCAGTGAATACGCATTCTGACAAGATAAGGTGGAAGTGGGAACTTGATCGCGGCCGATAGTCCAGTTGCTTTACAGCAATTACTCTTAAAATTAATGCTGTAAAGATTTATTGGTGATAACACCACAACTTTAAATGTAATTACTTTCTATCTGGTGTTCAGGAGCTTCTCTCTGAACAACATGCTGAACTAACAGAGTTGAAACTTAGCAATGCTTTTATGTAACATATTTCTTTTCAGGCATACTTCCACAGATACTCGTCCCTTCCTATCTTAGAGATTCATTACACATTTAGCCAAGAAACAATTGATAAGATGTACTAAAGCAAACCAAATCTGTATATCACAACAGAAATGGTTAGATTAGATCAGTTGTTTGTGATGCCTTGATTGTAATAGCTTCAAATAATAGCGTCTCGTGTGTCTAATATCTTGTTTGTATTCATTCTGCAACACTGGTTACTTTTGATTTATAACAAAGCTAGTAATACCAAGTGGTAGGTGGTGGATATGTATAGATATTATTTATATATAGATAAATACATAATCAGAATGATTTGCATTACAAATCAAACAAATAGCCCATTAAATTTGTTGACAAACTAACAAGCTAACATTTGAACTAGATGTGTGCGGGTTAAGCCCCTTTACCTCCACATCACTGGTGTGTTAGCTTTCCAGTGGTTCAGTGACCATTATTTACATAATATGTTCAATTATTCAGATTTGTATGATGTGTTTGTACACAATTATGCTATGCAACATCAGAAATGTGTTATGTCTAACTTGACCTGAAAAGCAATATACTGCTGTCTAACTCATCATGAAATCTTACACATAATTCTACTAAAATGATTCAAATTTCATACTTTGGAACATTTGTATAATTACTAGTTAAATATTTGGAACAGTATCTTCATTTAACTTCATTACATTAACTAACCCAAATAAAGACTGGTACTAGACTTGGCTGTTTTGACTTTTACAGGCAGATATGTAACTGACATTCTTATAAAGAGGGACTTATAATGCATTACCAGTTAAGTGTCTTTCTCAAGGACACATTGACAGGTCTCTTTTCTAATCTGTGGCATTTTCAAAATTTTTACAGTTTAGATCATTTGATTATAAAATGTCACATACATCAAATTTGAAAAAGAAACTGTTTCTTGGTGTTTGTTGATATTGTTGATAGTATTTTAAAGGCGCAGATGACTATATGAACGGTACTATTTAATACAGGTCCAATTAACAAATAACTACTTTCAATGACATTTTGCAAATAATATTACACTTTTACTTCACTTGTTAAAAATAATATTGACTAATTTGAGTTTTATCAACCTTCAGCAACTAATGTGAACTGTTACAAACAATCTCAACTTTTAGTCACTGTACACATTAACTATAAATACTGTATGTTGGTACTTTGTTTGTCTTCACTAACCACGGTGTGTTCTGCTTGAACATGTAATTTTTCATCCATGAACATATATGCTAATGATGCAACAATGCACAAAATGAATTGCTTGATTTAGTACTAGACTGCCATTTTTCAGTATACAGCAGCAAGAATAAGATAACAGCCAAATAATAAGCGATGCTTCAGATGAGGAGGGGTTTGTAGGCAAACTGAACTTTAAATGCAATAAAACAGAGCCAGGGTTTGGTTAGTGTAAGAGGTTAGGTGGTGTAACTTTATGTGTTAAATGATAGTTTTGAGTGATTATTAGATTTTGTTCTATATATATATGTTCTATATATATTTGCTATAGATGGTTGTGTGTTTACTGGACCATTGCCTGGCCTGAAAAGTTGGTATCAAAGATAAATGTGCAGTTAAGAAAAGGCGCATTAAGCAAATGTAGATGTTTGCTATACTGACCATTATAACACCAAAAACATTATAAATGACCAAAAAAATGAAGACTATCAGAACCCAGGATGAAGCTACTAACACCAGATGTAGACATCACTGAAGATTTATGAGATGCACAGTTTGAATTACATCTCTAACTTCTTAATTCCTGAAGACCTCGAGGCTTTCCTTCTTCAAAACTGGTGCAATAAACAGGTGTTGAGAATCATCTTAGTGAGGAGGAAGAAGAAGCTGCTCTGACGAATGGCCCTGCTCCATATGAGCTACTTCACATTCACATATCAAGTGATTCCATTAATACCCCCCCGACTCCCCCTTCCTCCTCCGTATGTAAGAGCTGTGCACTTTGTGAAAAAGGGTTTTTAAGAGAAGCCCACAATTAGCAGACTAAATGCAAACCTACACGCACGTTGAGAGGGGATTTTATTTGTAATGAAAACAGGCAGCTGGTTTTTCAAGCCCTTAAAGAAAACAGGGATGAGTCATCCCCTGGAAATAGTCAGAATCACTTTGCCTATCACAAGAACTATGGCTGTGCTGCTCTGAGCGCCTCATTTGGTTAAGAAAAGCCAAAAGCAAATCAGTACAAACACAGGATGAATAGCAACAATCTCCTCTGCTGTCTGCAGGAGAATGTAAAAGATAGGGTGTAATGGAAAAGTATAATGATCTACCACCTTGTCGGGTTGTGTAAATGTATTCCAGCCTCTCAAGGAAACTAATTAGTGGCGCAATTTATTTGGCAAGCGGCTGAAGGTAATGGATTTGACCCTCTTCGGTTAAATAGAGCCATAACATGATTTTCACTGATTAGAGGATAGTACAAAAAAAGAGACATGTTGTTAAAGCTCGTCTCTTGCAAAAACAGACACACAGCGTACCGAAATCCACGAGTTTGATCCCTCCATGCGTCGTCAATAGGATGTTATTGCCTTTGACGTCACGGTGGATGGTCTTGTTGACGTGCAGGTGCTGGAGGCCCTGTGGCAAAAAAAAGAGGTTGACAGCTTTTTCTGAAAAGCACCTGCCTTCAAAATTATCCTGTTTAAAATCTTTTCATCGCAGCAGTGTATTCAGTGGGAGGTTGCTCTATTGAGCTCTATAGTACAGCATTGTCTCACCTCGTGCACATTCAAAAGGCTTACCATGAGGGCCTCGTGCAAGATGTAGGCAATAATCGCTTCGTCCATTCTGTCTCCTCTCTTCAGCATGCCTTTAGCCAGATCTGTCACAGAGCCACCATTGCAGAGCTGCAACAGAAAAAAAAACACAAAGAACAGAGAATAATGAGCAAAAAGCTCAACATGAGTCAGCACTTATAGCTGAACTTATACAATATGCTGAGATCTGGGGCATCTGAGATATGCAGAATTTCACGTGGGGGAAACAGCAGAGTGTGAAAACGTTTTTGATCACAAGATTTCACAGAGAGAAAAGAGATGCTGAAAGTCATTCTGTCAATCTTTTAGCAGCTTATCTCTCTGAGGCAGCTTAGCGAGAGGTGAAAATCGTACCCACGGGGGAGAATGTATATTTTGCGTGCAGGGTTTAAACTAACGCTGCGATGACTAAGCAGGGTAAATATTAAACAAGCACAAATGATCTTAAATTGAAGTACATCATCTTAAGTCTTCAGACAATGCCACGGTTTATATTAGAAATTACACACCTATTACACAACATTTTGTACTGGAAACAGAACAAACTAAGATTAAAATCAACAGGGACGTTTGATTTCATGTGTATTTATAGGAGTTTCGTTGAGGTATACTGTGTCTAGATATGGACTGCATCTTCAATAGCTCTTGGAAAATTACAGAAAATTACCCAGTTGGTTGCCTTGGCAACAATAATAACCCTTAATTTGGGTCTTTCTCTGGGAGATGCCTGAGGTATACAGAAAAAAAGCTCTAAGATGTCAATCACAGTGCTGGGAACTGTAAATTGTAGATTCTGGATGTGAACGCTGTTTGTAAACACAGACATCGCTCTGTGGGTAAAAGATATCATCTACAGAAGCCATAAACATCCAAACGCATCCCTCTTTCCCATTTGTTGTGAATATTCTGTATTTCAACGCATCTTTAATCCTACCCACATGCAAAAACATTTTGTGTAAGACAGGAAATTTCCATCATATCTTTTTGTGTATTAAACACTTGTTCTTGTATAATTACACTAATTTCCCGCACTTGTAAACTGAAAGCTTAATTAGGCAATAGACGTGCAGTGGTGTGTGGTTATTTAGGATAAGAATCAGTCCCCTGTGGCGATCATACTAAAGAGTGCAGCAAGAAAAGTTTGCTAACAAATAACTTATATACCACGGCATTAACGCAACTATAGGTTTTTAAATTGACATTTAAAATGGCAGGGTATTGTACACAACAGCACATCATGGTGCATTTAAAATGACACACAACAGCACATCATGGGGCTTATAGTGCATGGTTAGGGAAATAAGACCTACAGTACTACAGTAAAACGTTGCATAATGGCACTAGAAAAAAAACATGATGGCACCATTTTGTATTAAGATTTTTAGCATTTTTGCTTAATAAATGACAATTATGAGTTGTCAGTAGTAGCTCTAGTTGTACTTAAAGACATCATGATCAATGCATCATTGTCCATTTTATATGTTGGAACAATACACTGTGAAACTGATAAAAAAAAGTACACCAGAAAATACTAAAATGTGATGAGACGACAGGCCCCAGGTCACAATCATGTAAAAGGCTTCCCACCCCTACAACATGTTAGCAAGAAGTCATTTTGTTTCTCTTTATCGTTGTTTTACATCTCTTTGTAGTCATTTTGTTTCTCCTTTTGATCTTTTTTGAAGTTATTTTGTTTCTCCTTTTGATCTTTTTTGAAGTTATTTTGTTTCTCTTTATGATTGTTTTACACCTCTTTGTAGTCATTTTGTTCTCCTTTTGATCCTTTTGTAGTAATTTTGTTTCTCTTTATGATTGTTTTACATCTCTTTGTAGTCATTTTGTTCTCCTTTTGATCCTTTTGTAGTAATTTTGTTTCTCTTTATGATTGTTTTACATCTCTTTGTAGTCATTTTGTTCTCCTTTTGATCCTTTTGTAGTAATTTTGTTTCTCTTTATGATTGTTTTACATCTCTTTGTAGTCATTTTGTTCTCCTTTTGATCCTTTTGTAGTAATTTTGTTTCTCTTTATGATTGTTTTACATCTCTTTGTAGTCATTTTGTTCTCCTTTTGATCTTTTTTGAAGTTATTTTGTTTCTCTTTATGATTGTTTTACATCTCTTTGTAGTCATTTGTTCTCCTTTGATTGATCCTTTTATAGTAATTTTGTTTCTCTTTATGATTGTTTTACATCTCTTTGTAGTCATTGTTTTTCTCCCTTTATGATTGTTTTACATCTCTTTGTAGTCATGTTCTCCTTTTGATCTTTTTATAGTCCTTTTGTTTCTCTTTATGATTGTTTTACATCTCTTTGTGGTCATTTTGTTCTCCTTTTTATCTTTTTATAGTCCTTTTGTTTCTCTTTATGATTGTTTTACATCTCTTTGTAGTCATTTTGTTTCTCCCTTTTGATCTTTTGTAGTAGTTTCCTTTTGTTTCTCTTTATAGATTGTTTTGACATCATCTTTTTGTGTTTCTCCTTTTGATCTTTTTTAGTCCTTTTGATCTTATGATTGCATCTCTTTGTAGTCATTTTGTTCTCCTTTTGATCTTTTTGTAGTCCTTTTGTTTCTCTATGATTGTTTTACATCTCTTTGTGGTCATTTTGTTTCTCCTTTTGATCTTTATGCATCTTTTTGTAGTAATTTTGTTTCTCCTTATGATTGTTTTACATCTCTTTGTAGCCATTTTGTTTCTCCCTTTGATCTTTATGCATCTTTTTATAGTCCTTTTGTTTCTCCTTTTGATCTTTTTGTAGTCCTTTTGTTTCTCTATGATTGTTTTACATCTCTTTGTAGTCATTTTGTTCTCCTTTTGATCTTTTTATAGTCCTTTTGTTTCTCTTTATGATTGTTTTACATCTCTTTGTGGTCATTTTGTTTCTCCTTTTGATCTTTATGCATACATCTCTTTGTAGTAATTTTGTTTCTCCTTTTGATCTTTTTGTAGTCATTTTGTTTCTCTATGATTGTTTTACATCTCTTTGTGGTCATTTTGTTTCTCCTTTTGATCTTTTTGCATCTCTTTGTAGTCATTTTGTTTCTCCTTTTGATCTTTATGCATCTTTTGTAGTCATTTTGTTTCTCCTTTTGATCTTTTGTAGTAATTTTGTTTCTCTTTATGATTGTTTTACATCTCTTTGTGGTCATTTTGTTTCTCCTTTTGATCTTTTTGTATTCATTTTGTTTCTCTATGATTGTTTTACATCTCTTTGTGGTCATTTTGTTTCTCCTTTTGATCTTTTTGCATCTCTTTGTAGTCATTTTGTTTCTCCTTTTGATCTTTATGCATCTTTTTGTAGTCATTTTGTTTCTCCTTTTGATCTTTTTGTAGTAATTTTGTTTCTCTTTATGATTGTTTTACATCTCTTTGTGGTCATTTTGTTTCTCCTTTTGATCTTTTTGTATTCATTTTGTTTCTCTATGATTTTTTTACATCTCTTTGTGGTCATTTTGTTTCTACTTTTGATCTTTTTGCATCTTTTTGTAGTCACTTCGTTTCTCTTTGATCGTTCAACATCTTGTTGTGGTCATTTTGTGTCTCTTTGTGGTTGTTTTAAGTCTCTTTGTATTAGTTTTGTGTCTCTTTATGATTGCTTTACATCTCTTTGTAGTCATTTTGTTTCACTACATGATTGTTTTACATCTCGTTTTCATAATTTTGCATCTGTGGTCATTTTGCGTCTCACTTGTTTTGTTTGTCTTTGTAGATGTTTTGTCTTTCTTTGCAGTCATTAATAATTTGACATTCCAACAAGAAATGAACATGAAACAGTGACTCGGAACAGGAACTCTGGCCCATTCAGTAAAACCTCCATGCACTAGATGCTGAGAGTGAAGCGAGTCTTTGACCTTGACTAAGCGATAGCATAAGTTTTCAACGCCATGCCTCCTGTCTGCCTATCAATCTAACTATCCACCAGGAGCCCAGAGAGCTGTTGCAGAATGGATGGCATGTATCTCAGCTGCCATGTATCTCAGCTGCCACATGGGGAGCTTAATCACTCCTTCTCTCTGCTATCAGATGTGCAGACAAACAGCAGTTAAGCAGAGAATACCACAGAGGCTTTCACAGACAGCCTGACGTCAGTCCACATCACTGCAGCATATCACCTGTCATCATTAAATTACACAGGGCAGACAGACAAATCCATATTAATGAGAGGTACGGTGCCCTAGATTTAGCAGAGCTAAATGTTAGCACTCTCACCTTAGCCACAGTGATGCTCAACATGAACATTAATTATTTGTGATGTGTTGAAGACTGAAACCTCTGCAGAGTGGAAACGACACATGAAACTTTAGACCTGGTTTGATTTACATCTTGTACAGATTAAACCAGATTTCATAACCTTTCTATGAGGTAACGGTCTGGGTCCAGATATTTAAACACAACTTCTTTTCTGAAACAAACTAATTCCCATTAACTTGCATCACTTCATTAAACTATGATAGTGGTTGTAAAAGTCAGTGGGGATTACAAAACAGCCAAAGAGAAGAGATAATAGCTTAATCCATTTACATTTAAAAAAAATAAAAAATATAATGGCAAATTGGTCACATTAAAACCTCCCATTCATTTTAAGTTAAAAAACTTCTAAAAAAAATTGACTTTAATGTCAAATATGGAGCTTTATTATGAAGCTCAATGCTACTGATTTCATTCAAGATTTGTTTTTTACTGCCAGCTGCCAACAAGGCATCACCATTAAGGAATATAAGGTTTCAAGAGGAAAGTCAACACAAATGCTGTTGCCTTATAATTATATATTATATATTTTCTATTATAATAATATAAAAAGGTTAAAATCCATGTCTTCATCTTGTCACATGAGTTTCTACAGAACTATCAGTTTTAAAAGAAAAAAACTGAATACATTGAATATTGAGTGGGATATTCTCCATTACAAATGAGGTCAGGTGTTTGTTTTGTCATGTAAATGAAACTAGTTGATCAAAGACGTGTAAAAGAAGTAGTGGATGAAACAAATGTAAAGATGAAACAAACACGGCTGCCCCCTGACTCAGTGAGGATAAACCACGGCGGCTGTTAAAACACACAGGTGCTGACTTTTTAGTCCACTATCTTTGAT